CAATTTGATGGTATTGATTCTAAAGTAATTTTTTGAAATCAAGATCGGTTTCCGTATCGAATAAAAGTCTCGAGGCTAACAGTGCTCTGATCATTTTGTGATGTTTTTACAAATAAATCCTTCATCCTTCATCGTCATTTTCCCTTCACCACCAAAAAAGCTAATTAGTTCCCCATTGAGCTTAGGGTTAGGGAGCCGTCTGTCATGACGTGGGTTAAGTTAAGATATAGCCTAGTATTGTGTGTGTCGTTGTATTGTGATTGATATATTTCGTGTATGCGATAAATTCACCACTGGTAGCCCCAGTCGGTATTTTTTAAATCCTTTAGCCAAAGGCCAAGAACAAAGCCTATTTCACTCGATAACGTTTTCTGATGTTAGTCTGCATTGTAATTTACCCTGGCATACTGTAGTGAGATAGGAATCCAAGGTTTCTTATCTGATCTGACAATCAAAGTTCATGTTTATTTAGTGAAAACTGCTTTAGTCGTCAATATGCGAATTCTTTGGGAACAGCTTTTCTCTTGAATTTGGCTACATTTTTACTATAAATTCAAAATCCCCATTGAACCATTGCGTTAGCTTCATGAAATAAAAATTTCACAAGAACAAGAGAACACAAAAAGCTGCTTGAATTCAGCAGTTCTTGCTCGAGTTCTTGTTCTCTGTTTCTCGAGTTCTCTTGTTGCTTCCTTGTTTTCATAAAGAACTCCTTAGTGTTCACCTAGTTATTCTTGAATTTGTTTCCACCCAATCCCAGATCACCCAACAATTTCACTCGATAACTACACTTTTCTGTTCGATCAGGTGCTTGTGTTTACTCGAGATGAAGCAAAAAGGGAAAGATAATCTCAAAAGTGCCCCTTTTCCCCTCAATTTGATCATAAGACTCAGTCAGTCTTTCATTGTGAATTCCTTTTCTTTTAGCGGAAATCCCTTGTACTTTCTCCATCAAAAATGGCCCACAAAAAGGTTTAAATGGATTGATGAAAGCATGTGATCGAATATCTCTTTCTGATCTCTTTTCTCGATTTTCCTTTCTTCACCCATTAGCCTGATCACACCAGTTGCCAAATCGACCCCTATTGTTTCAGTTTTTCTTTTTTTTTCTCTTTAAATGAGTCAAAAGATATTTCTGAAGTGAGTGAACTTTACACATCAAAAGAAAAGAAAAGAAAGAAAGAAAAGAAAAGAAAAGAGAAAAGGAAAGAAAAGAGAAAAGGAAAGAGAAAGGGAAAGAGAAAAGGAAAGAGAAAAGGAAAGGAGTTCAAGAGTTTTTGATGAGATTTTGATAAAAAAAGCTCGCAGTGTTCGAAACGATAATTGAAATGATTTGAAAATTTAAGCTGATAAAATTTTGTTGATTATTTCTTTCAAATCCTCAATCAGTACCATCTTTGGAATAGTGATAAGGTAGAAAAAAAAGGTTTAAAGATATTAAGATCAAGTTGTTGGTTTAAAGGTATTAAGATCAAGAAGTTGTTGGTAGGTTTACTTTTTTAGTGTGCTGTTTTTGAATCTAATCACCCTTCAACTCTACAATACAATTGTGCTATTCAAAATTGAATTTGCATCATCAATACTTGTTCAAAAGAGTTGCCGCTTCAGAAATCAACTAAAAAACGATCAAAGCCTTGAAGATCAAAGTCATTGTAAGCCTTGAATTCTATCTCACTACAGTGAGAAAGCTTAAGTGCAGATTATTTAGGCAATAACATTGAATATCTTACATATACTTGAGAACTTTGAAAGTTTCTGGAATTTATTGTAAACTCTTCGATTTCAATCTCACTACAGTAAGCCAGAATATGATAAAATAGTGTTTTACAAAAGTTTTCACGGTGAGTAATTCGCAACTTTCCGATTTTACCCTTTTCTGCATAGTTTTAAGCAAATTTAAGGAAAGATTATAGTCATTTTTAAGCTTATTCACATTTTAGATGCTGAGCTTATCCATATAGATGCTGAGCTTATCCATATAGATGATGAGCTTATCCACATAAATGCTGAGCTTATCCACATAGATCCTGAGCTTATCCATATAGATGATGAGCTTATCCACATAAATGCTGAGCTTATCCACATAGATCCTGAGCTTATCCATATAGATGCTGAGCTTATCCACTTTACTAATAGTTGACGAGTTTTCTAAAACGTGAAAACTTTCGCATTTCGCAATTCAATGCCATAAAAAGTACATAAATCCCTCTACTCTAACATTTACAATTTCAAATTCATTCTAGTTTTCTTGTGCTATTGATGCTATTGATGCTATTGTGCTATTGATTCTACTCAAATTTCAATCTGATCCCTTATCAAGATCGATTTCATTTCACCTCATTTCACGAACCAATCCATTTCTCTTTCTTCTAATTTCGCTTGACAAATAAATTTCAAAAAGGATAACTTATCCCAGAAAGACAAAAAAGAATGGGGAAACTCGAGACGGGAGACAAGTCTGAAATAAAAGAAAGAAAAGAGAAGAGTGTTCCATTCATTTATCCATTTTTTTTATTTTCTTTCATCTTTTCTTTCATCTCCTACGAAATCTGTTTGTTTTCATTTCAGCAAAAAAAAACCAGCTCACTTTTTGAGTTATCAATTTTGTTCCGAACGTCGTGTTTGATTTTCGAAAGTATTCCTGGAGTTCCTGGAGTCCTGGAGTTCCTGGAGATCAATTGTTTTGCTTAAAAATTGAATTCTTAAAGGGGAAAACTTTTGTCAGAGCTGTTATTGGCTATTATTGGCTACTTTATCTAAGATTTGTCAACTTTAAAAGCAATCGTAGCTTTCGAAAGTTTTAGAAAACTCATAAACTATTAGTAAAGTGGATAATGTGGATAAGCTCAGCATCAAAAATGTGAATAAGCTTAAAAATGACTATAATCTTTCCTTAAATTTGCTTAAAACTATGCAGAAAAGGGTAAAATCGGAAAGTTTACAGTTTAAAGTCGACTTGAAGTTGTTCAGACGTTAGTTCAACATTTCTTCTAATATTGAATGTTCTAATTTGTTCTAATTGTCAATAGCTTTTAAAACTGTCCACAAACAGAAAAACCTCTTATAAGAACTTAAGAAAATGGTTAAATTTAAAACCCCGAAATTCCGTGATCTATTTTTAATCTATTTCTAAGCTCGATCCCAAACTGGATCAGCAAAAAACTAGCCAACTTGAGTCATGATGAGTGGGTGAAGAAAAAAAAAATGATCAGAAGCATGTGCTCCCCTCACAGCTGTTCTCCTTGTCTTTTGTGGGGTGAATGGGTGAACTCTCGTCACAGACAAATGGAAAAAACAGCGATAAAAAGGAAAAGCTCCATAAGAATGAGATTTGTGTGGAGGCTGGATTACACAGTTACACTTTAACTTGAAAAAAAAGGAAACAGATTTTGGTGCTTGAGAGGTTGTTTCTTTTGTTTTTCTTTGTGGAAAGGGTTTTGTGGACGAGAAAAGCCCAGTTTGTGGTGTGCAATTGATGAAATCCGAGTCGCGCCTTGTTCGGTTTCTCCGTTCACTCTAGCGATCCAAAACTTTTTTCGAATCTGGACCTGGAATAGAATCGATTGAGTTTTAATTGAACTAAATAGTTCAAATGTTTTTTAGGAATTGGTTTGGGCTTTAGGTTTAAAATAATCAATTGTGATCAAAGTCGACTTGAAGTTGTTCAGACGTTAGTTCAAGATTTCTTCTAATATTGGATGTTCTAATTTGTTCTAATTGTCAATGAAAAGTCAAATTTTTATGATTTTATTGTTCAGACATTTATCACGTTTGATTTAACAATATTGTTACACGAGTGACCAATTACAGCTTGTTTTCTTATCTCAAAATGGACAAAGCTTAAGAACAAATTTTTGAATTGTTTCTTTTATAGATCAGCTTCATAAAATCAATTCTAATTCTCAAATTTGTAGATCAGCTTCATGATTTATAGATCAGCTTCATGATTTGTAGATCAGCTTCATGATTTGTAGATCAGCTTCATGATTTATAGATCAGCTTCATGAAATCAATTCTAATTCTCAATGCCTTTTTTAGTTTAAAATGGATTAGATTCAGATTGAGTCTAATAAAACATTTTCTTTCATTGCTGCTTCTTTCCGAAGAAAGCTTTGTCCATTTTGAGAAAAGAAAACAAACTGTAATTTGGTCACTCGTGTAACAATATTATTAAATCAAACGTGTTAAATCTTTCAAGCTGTTAAATCTGAAAGCTTTCAAAATCGGTATTTCCTTTGTTTCAAATCTCGAAACCTTTTCGCTTTCAAGAATTTCACTCAATTTGTAAAAATTAGAGTTTCTTAACTATCCGAATTCTTCTAGTTAAGTGTCCAAGAGCCGAATTCTTCTAGTTAAGTGTCCAAGAGCCGAATTCTTCTAGTTAAGTGTCCAAGAGTTTATTTTCGTTTTGAGTGCCAAAGCAGCTGAAGAGTTAGGTTCAGCTGGAAAAGAAAAAAAAAGAAAAAGAAGGTTGAGTGGTAGTGGGTGAGGAAAAAGAAGGGGAAAAAGAAGGGTTTCAGCTCTGAGATCATCAATGCCGGATGTCGGCATTCTCTTTTCTTTTTACTTTTTGAGACCCTCGAGGTGTCATATGGGGAATGGGCAAAAAATAGAGAATAAGAGAACAAATAGAAGTGAGGGAAAGGATCTTGTGATTGGAATGATCAGCTGGAACAAGCACATGCCTTGAGATTTCGGCATTCTTTTTGCAGGAGAGCTTGGAGAAGAAGAGAAGTCCCTTGGTACCTGGGAAAAAAGATACAAAGCCTGAGAAAATGAGAACACTAAAGAAAATGAGGTTAATGATTTCTGAGGAGATCTTAGAATGAGAGCAAGTCGATGTTGATAGAAGGCAGAAGAAGAGAAGCGAGATGAAGAGATCGAAGGATCCGCCCACAGAATGTTGTAGCTCTCGTTTCAGGAAAAATCAGATCCATTCCCATTCTCTCATTTCTCGAGACTTTTCCCTTTTTCATCCCATTCACTTCTCTTCTTTAAAGATGGCCGATCAAGAGCCTCAAGCTGAACCAGTGGCCGCAGCTCAAGAGCCAGCACCAGGTAAAGGAATAATGGAATAAAGGAATAACAACTTCAATCGAAAATTTGGCATCAAAACGGATACTTTAAAAGGCTCCTTTCTAGCGGAAAGGCGTTGATGGTCTACAGGATCAGGGTTGGGTCAGGGTTGGGTTCGGGTTCGGATTCGGGTGACAGGACTTTTTAAAGCACCCGTTTTGATGCCAAATTTCCGATTAAAGCACTTGGTAATATAATAGAGTTGCTAAGGGATCAGTAGGAACAAATCAACAGCAAAAATTTATCAAGGTAAAGCAATATCCTTCACAAATCGATACCTGGTTTTCTTTCTTTACATTTTTCCCTAAATAAGCAATCATTTCAGAAGCAGCTCCAGCCGAGTCAGCTCCTCCAGCCGAAGCCCCTGCTGAAGCTCCAGCTGCTGGTAAAGCTCTTTTTTTGAATTTTGACACTGACATCAGCTCCTGATTCTTTTACCCTAACCAAGCAGACAATAAGTCGAACAACTTTTCAGAAGCCGCTTCAGCCCCCGAAGCGGCCGAGGCTGCTCCATCAGAAGCGCCAGCAGGTAAAAATATCTATCGATAGCTTATTTCAAAATTTAAACTCAAATTGTCAACGAATCAATCAATATTTTGTTCCAGAAGCTGCCCCAGCCGAGGCTGCTCCCGCTGAAGCCGCTCCTTCAGAGGCCGCACCAGCTGCCGAAGCCCGAAGCCGCTCCAGCTGGTAATTGATTGACTTTTTGATTTGAAATTGACTAATCGGCAAACTAATTAGTCCGGCTAATCTATTCTATGTCAAACTTTTAGAAGCCCCCGCTGCAGAGTCAGCTCCAGCCGAAGCCGCTCCCGCCGAGGCTGCCCCAGCCGAAGCACCGGCTGCTGAAGCTGCTCCAGCAGGTTTGAAATACTATTGACTTTAAAACAATTTGCTTTATAGAAGCCGCCCCAGTCGAAGCTGCAGCTCCAGCTGCGGAAGAGGCTGCTCCAGCTGGTAGAGAAATTTGTTCGAAATGGTTTTTTAGAAAGTAGAAAATATTGTTCAACGACCAAACTAGACTTGACTTTAGACTAAAAGATTAAAAATAAATCCGATTTTAGAAGCAGCTCCCGCCGAGGCTGCACCAGCTGAAGCAGCTTCGGTCGAAGAACCCGTTGTTGCTGAATCTGCTCCCACAACTGAGGCCGCTCCTGGTGAGTCTGATGGTGAGAGAAATGCTTTGTTTGGATAAGATCTAACTAAATGTTGAGCAAAGTCAAGCGGTTATTATTTTTGATGCTTTGGTAACAGTTAGATCAAGGAAACTTTTTAGATGCAGCTCCAGCCGAAGCAGCAGCTCCAGCAGAAGCACCGGCAGCCGGTTTGTTTTAGAGAAATTCCGAGAAACCAAGTTTTTCAGAAGCCGCCCCAGCCGAAGCTGCTCCAGCTGGTGAGTTTGCTGAAAGATAATTCACTTAATTGTGCAACAGTTTAGAATCTAAAAATTATAATCTAGAATTATATCTACAAAGTTTAGAAGCCGCGCCGGTCGAGTCAGCTCCAGCCGAGGCTGAAGCAGCTCCAGCTGAAGCTGCGCCAGGTAAATTTGTTCAATTTTAAAAAAAAATCAAGTCTAATTTCTAATTACTTTCCATAATGCTAAGTAAAAAACAAAAAGTAAAACTTTTTATTACAAAATCCCATTACAGAAGCAGCTCCATCAGCAGAAGAAGCCGCTCCAACCGAAGCTGCTCCAGGTAAGCTTTTGGAGACAAAAAGAATGATCCAAAAACAAGAAATTCATTAGATCACTAAATCATTGGATAAATAGGTTCAATAAATTTCAATAAATTTCAATAAATTCATTAGATTATCGAAACTATTTCAGAAGCCGCTTCAGCTGAAGCTGCTGAGCCAGCCGCTGTTGTTGAATCTGTTCCAGTGACTGAAGCCGCACCAGGTAACATTGGAAACTTAACGATAAACTTGGATTTATTTTTAGAAGCCGCTCCCGCTGAAGCTGCCCCGGCTGCTGGTTTGTTGAATTAAAGAGTTTTACATGTTATTGCTTGTTCCAAGTGAAAATGCTTTATTCTAAAAATTGATTAGATTAGATTGACTCGCAAATTATTTAATAGCTAAAGTAGACATTAAATGAGAGATTAAAAAGACTAAAAAGATTGAAAGAATAAATTTTTGAGACTTAAAATAAAGCTAACATTCATTCAGAAGCCGCCCCATCGGAGGAAGTGGCGCCGGCTGTTGACTTGACTGCACCACAAGAGGCATCCGCTGGTAGCATTTTGAAATAACTTTGATCTACAGTTGAGATTTATGATTGAAATTAGAAACATGATACACTGCAGATTGGTTTATACTTTTTCCAGGACTTGGCGTTTATTTTAGAAACACCAGCCGCCGAAGCTGCTCCCGCCGAAGCTGCTCCCGCTGAAGCTGCTCCCGCCGAAGCTGCTCCCGCTGAAGCTGCTCCCGCCGAAGCTGCTCCCGCTGAAGCCGCCCCTGCCGAGGCTGCTCCATCAGAAGCTCCAGCAGGTAAAAATACTTATTCCAGATTGATGATTGGATAGATTTATCATTGGAATTTAAGATAATAGGCTGCAGACTGTTTTCTACTTATTCCAGAGTTTATTCCAGAGCTTATTCCATTTCAGAAACACCAGCCGCCGAAGCTGCTCCCGCTGAAGCTGCCCCTGCCGAGGCTGCTCCATCAGAAGCACCAGCAGGTAAAAATATCTATTGATAGCTTATTTCAAACTTTACACTAGAATTGTCAATAAATTAATCAATATTTTGTTCTAGAAGCTGCCCCAGCCGAGGCTGCTCCTTCAGAAGCCGCACCAGCTGGTGAGTAGTTAAAAGTTTGGAAATGTAATTTTGCACTTTAATTGGATAATTGAATATATTATTAGATAAATGAATATATTATTGAATAAATAAATACAAAAGTTCTCACTTTAGAAGCCGCTCCAGCCGAAGCTGCTCCCGCTGAAGCCGCTCCGTCAGAGGCCGCACCAGCTGGTGAGTAGTTAAAACTTTGGAAATGTAATCTTGCACCTTAATTGGATAAGTGAATATGGTGTTAGACAAGTGAATATATTATTGAACCAATAAATACAAGAGTTATCACTTTAGAAGCCGCTCCAGCCGAAGCCGCCCCAGCTGAAGCCCCGGCAGCTGGTTGGTTTTGAAAATGACTTTAATTAATAGTTAGTAAGTAGATAAAAGTTTCAGGCTTCAAACTATATCTAAAATGTTATCCCTGAGCTGTTCTAACGTTTATTTAGAGGCTGCTCCTGCTTCTGAAGCGGCTCCCGTCGAAGCAGCCCCAGCTGAAGCAGCTCCAGCTGGTGGGGATTCTCAGCTATAAATGAATTTCAACATTTAACCTTCAAATATCTAAATATCTAAACAGATTCTCTAAACTTTTCTAAGATAAAAGATACCTGATGACTAAAAGTAGACTAAACTTTCAGAAGCGCCCGCTGAGGCGCAAGCCTAAGCCTCATAACATCAGCCGTCATCGAAATAAAGTTAAATCTTTTTCAATTTCATTTTTCAATTTGCATTTATCCTTTCTTTTTCTCTTTTTCGAATGGGATCATTGAATTTTTGGTGCCTTTCATGTACAGAAATCGTTAATAGAAAAAAAATCCAAAAAAAAAACTTGCTTTTCAACATTTCATAAATGTTCGATCGCTTCTTTGCTCAACTTTTCTTTTTTGATTTCTGTAATAATCGGCTCTTAAAGCATTGCTTTTTCTTGCAAAAATTGGAAAAAAATCACCCGGTATGTTTTCTTCTTTTTTTTGTGAATTGTAATTGAGAATAAAATGTGTAAAATAACACTTAAATACATGAAATTTGTAGAGAAATATGTTTTTTTTGATCTGTCTTCGCACTTAGGTGTCATTAAAGCGTCATTCGATCATTCGGTTGCAGCAGTTTTGCCAACAGCTCCTTCGCCAACAGCTCCTTCGCCAACAGCTCCTTCGCCAGCAGCTCCTTCGCCAACAGCTCCTTCGCCAACAGCTCCTTCGCCAACAGCCCTTCGCCAACAGCTCCTTCGCCAACAGCTCCTTCGCCAACAGCTCCTTCGCAACAGCTCCTTCGCCAACAGCTCCTTCGCCAACAGCTCCTTCGCCAACAGCTCCTTCGCCAACAGCTCCTTCGCCAACAGCTCCTTCGCCAACAGCTCCTTCGCCAACAGCTCCTTCGCCAACAGCTCCTTCGCCTTTTCACCTCACAAATCACTTGAGCAGATCTCGCAGACAGACCTTCTTTTCAAATGACTTCTTTTCTTTTCAAGCAAAACACGAAGTTCACTTTTATCTATCTAAAGATGTGAAATCTGTAAAGTAAATTCTCAAGATACTCTCAAGAAAACAGGCTTTTAAATAAGCCAAAAACCATCACAAATCCATTGTCAAAATAATTAGATAATTTGAACTTTTCTGTAAGTAACGTTGGCAAGTAACTGCAAGTAACTGCAAGTAACTTTCTGCATGTAACTGCAAGTAACTTTTCTGCAAGTAACTGCAAGTAACTTTCTGCAAGTAACTGCAAGTATCTGCAAGTAGCTGCAAGTAACTGCAAGTAACTTTCTGCAAGTAACTGCAAGTAACTTTTCTGCAACTTTTTTTAACATTTTACTATAAGCAATCTCACAAGCTATCAAAAATAAAAAGAATAATTTCAACTAAACATTTGCTTTCTCACTTAACGAACTTGAAAGTTAGTCAGTCAATTTGAATTTGAATTCAATCTATTTAAGGATACTGTAGTAAAACAAAGAAATTGAAAAAAGTTTATTCTAGAGTTAATTCTTTACAAAAAAATCCCATGAGCTCTTTAGACTAAAATCTGTTCACAAAACCTGTTTTATATTGCTTGACAAATCTTTCTTTAGTTTCTTTGAATTTCTCGTTCATGAATCGACAAAAGTGTTAGATAAAATCTGCGGATTTCGAGGAGGAAATTTCGATTCTCACCACGAAAAAAAAAGAGGGAAATCGGGGACAAAACGTGGCCTTTTCCTTTGAAAAAGAAAAGAAGGCTCTAATTTGAGTTCGTTACTTTCAAAATCCTCAAAAAAATGGGTCAATTGCTCTACTCGATTTCCATATTTTTCCTATTGCCTATTTTAAATTTCATCTATAGACAGCATTTGTATGGAATCCCACCCGAAAAGATCATTTACCCGGAAACGGGGATCGAGGCGATGAAATTGAAAGAGGAGAGGTTCGTTTGGGGTTGAGATCTGTAAAGTTTAGCTTTATTTAGCTTTATTTTTTAAAATACATGATCTTACTATTGTTTAGAACATAGTTTACAGGACTTGGTTAGCTAGCTTAGCTCGCTAGCTTATGAGGTTTTTAAAATTTGGATTCTTGATCATGCTTGAGCTTCATTCCTTCAAGGCTTACTCCATGGTTTATCTTTATTTAGCTTTATTTTTAAAATACAAGATCTTACTATTGTTTAGAACATAGTTTATAGGTTAGATTTGGTTGGCTCGTTTAGCTCGTTAGCTTACGGCGTTTTTAAAATTTCGATTGTTTGATCATGCTTGGGCTTCTTTCCTTCAAGGCTTACTCCATGGTTTCCTGTTATTCGACTTGTTTCTGGATACAGTAGCACTATATTGTAGATTAAAAAGTTGAACACGGTTTTATAGGTTGGGAAAAAAAGTGGTCGGTGCCGGGACTCGAACCCCACGACTCATCGCTTATCATTGCTTAACGGTCTACCAACGAGCTAAACCACCAGGGTATGGCTTTATGGCTTAAAGTATAGACTCAAGAGTGATATAGAAAAGGCCAAGGTACAGTAGACAGTATTGTCAATTTTGTGACTACAGTAACTCAAATTTCACCGTGATATCAAGCCAAATTTTGATCCAAGTCAAGTCAAGCCAATATTTTTACTTAATCTTCAAGTTAAAGCCAAGTTTTTACGTTAAATTAAGGCTAAAATTGGTAACGTTAACATTCCAGGCCAAAAATCCATTGACATTATTTCTGTGGAGAGTTTAGGTTTTGTTTTTGTAGAAAACTAGTGGTAGAATGTTTACTATGTTACTGACATTACTGTCTACCGTACAATGGCCTTTTCTATATCACTCTTGAGTCTATACTTTAAGCCATAAAGTCATATCTTGGTGGCAATGATAGATTGCAATAGATTGCAATAGATTGCAATAGATAGATACAATAGATTAGTTTTTAAAAATTGACACCTAAATCAAATCCCTTTCCAGCTATTCTCGTCAAGAAAAAGCGGCGGCAGCGGCCGAGAATTTCGACAAAGAAATGCCAAATGTTGTCGCAAATAACTCATTGGTAAACTAAAAAAAAACTAATGTATAATATAAAAATTGAGATTGCTAACTTTTTCAGCCACTACCTGACTCAATCTACGGCGGAAACTACATTGGGATGTGTCAAAATCAGACACTCTGCGTGGGACCGTATGCGAGATTTCCATCATTGCTTGTCGTTTGTCATTTGCATATCTAATATAAATTGGAATTATCAATTTAGCTATCACATAGACTTTAAAAGATTTAGATCTATTTTAGGTAGTGCCGGAATATCGAATGATCTCGTGTCTTAATCAGAAAAGTCTTTCCACCGTGATGACGGGTGTCTTTTGCTTTATGAATCGACCGGAGGAGTTTTTGAGACAAAATCGGAGTCTTCTCAGAGAATATGGGGATATCAAGTGAGAGAAGAAGATAAGAGGATAGAGGCAGATATCTATTGGCTTGGTGAATTGAAAACTGCCGGACTTTGAACTAAAATTTATTCAAGATAAAACCATAAATTGATTCCAAATAATTTCCATTATTATTGACGACTTCTGCCCATTTTACAGGCAATTTGCAGATTCCTCTTTCGTGGTAGGATTTTGGTTTGTGTGTGAGACAAGTGTGAGACTCAAAAATGGAGGACTGGAGATGTCCCAGTTTGAGCACTTTCTTCAAAAGAAACCCATTTTGGTGTCAATAGAAAAGTTGTAGAGAATCAAAAATTAGGCTTATAGCCAAATTTCCAAAAAGATACATTTAGTAGTCAAAAGTCGCTTAAAATGCAAGTTTTGTGAAAATTCGTAAATTTGGCATCTCTTGAAAACCAGTTTTTGAATCGTTCTGAAAATTTGGATATAAGCTTGATTTTTGATTCTCTACAACTTTTCCATTAACACCAAAATGGGTTTCTTTTGAAGAAAGTGCTCAAACTGGGACATCTCCAGTCCTCCATTTTTGAGTCTCACACTTGTCTCATATGTCTCGATAGCAATTCTTTTGAAGTTTCTTTTGAAGAAAGTGCTCAAACTGTCACATATGACAATAGCCGGCAGTTTTCAATTCACCAACGCAATAGTTTCGGAATCGGCGTTGAATTCTGCGTTGCAATTCTATATGCTATTTATAGCTCATTTCATTTGGCCAATTGACATTCCCTCGTAAATCAACTTTCTATTTCGACAATAGCCGGCAGTTTTCAATTCACCAACCCAATAGTTATCTAAAACTAGTTTTGGTTTTAATCCTTTTAAACAAATACTCACACTTTGAAGGTTCATAACTTTTCTTGAAGATAATATTATTGTTAACTTTTGATAGTGTTTTAAAGAGCAAAAACTTGAGGTATTAGAATGAATCTCTAAGAAATAAACTAATAAACCGTACAAAGCCGTACTTTGGCCGTACAAATAGAAGTTATAACATGAAAGTTGAAAAGTAATTTTCACTAGGGTATCGAAAAATGATATTTATTATATAAAGAAAGTTTAAAAGCTTACAAAAGCTAGAAATTATCCGTTAAATATGGAAAGATTTTGTTCTATAAGAGGAGAATATTCCTGACATTTCCCTTTCAGAATGTGCCATTCGGCGAACGAGTACCACGGAGTGTGGCCAATCTTTCGTGATGTAAGCTTTACATCAAAGAATCCTTCATCAAAGAATCCTTCAACAAAGAATCCTTCAACAATTTCCCTCCATTTTTCAGCTTCACGTTCCCATTCGACAGTTGAAAAAATGGAGCTTTTCGATGGTGGCAAGAGATCCGGTGGACAGATTTCTCTCCGGTTTCGTCGATCGATGCATTCGGTGAGTGAAAAGAGGCTCCAGTTGAGACAATAGCTTACAGAAAACATTTCTTGTAAAAGAATCTATATATTTAGATAAATAGCCTAAGCCAGAGCTATAAATATCTAAAGTACACTGCTTTTGATAGCTTTTGATCGCTTTTGATAGCTTTTGATCGCATTAAATAAAAACCTTCAGCACACACGACTCATGCGAGGGTTGTCACTACAATATGACGTGTTTTCTCGAGGCTGAGGTGAGTTTAAAATGAGTACTACACCAGTAAATGAGTACTACTCCAGTAAATGAATACTACTCCAGTAAATGAGTACTATCCCAAGTCAATCGACAAATAACTATTTGATCGATCGAATGCTTATCTCCTTATCCATTTCTGAATCTACGCTCTGTCAATGCTCTGGCTTTTAAAGGCTTTTAAAGGCTCTTAAAGGCTTTTAAAGGCTTTTAAAGGCTTTTAAAGTTGCTTTCCTTTTAAAGTTTAAAGTTAAAGTGCTTTTAAAGTAACACAATCGTCTCTGGGATTCAGCTGGAAATAGAAAACTAAAGAAAAAGAAAGTTTATAGAAAAAGTTAGAAAAAAAGAAAAAGCTTTAACAGATTCTTAATAAAGTAAGTCAGAAATGGTAAAGAAAGATTCTCCGGAGGGCATTGAACCTCGGCCCTCGGAATGGCCCTCGGAGGGCCCTCAGCCCCCTTTTCGCTTTCCAGGCGGACGCTCTAACCACTGAGCTGGTATCTGCTGGTCAGAGAAAAAAAGGAAATACAAGGGAAAGATATCCCATTATCCCATTTTGAAACTTAACTAATCTTCAGCTACAAAGAGCGATGAATTACGCGAATCATCTCGAGCATAAGATCACTCCTGAAGATGCGCACATGTTCCCACAGAATTGGTTGGAAAATATAGAAAACTTTATGTAAAAAAGAGTCTGCAGGCGATGTCAAATGGACAAATATCGATATAAAATGCTCAAATATTCAAACGATCCAACACAGGGTTTCCTTCAGGAATTCAAACAGGAACTCGATCGACAAAATGTGAGTTTTGAGATATCTAAATGAGTAAATGTTATTGATTTTATTGATTTTATTGATTTTATTAAACTTTTATTGATTTTTATTAAACTTTTATTGATTATTGACTGTAAATAATTAGATTGATCTTTAGGTTCCATCAAATTTAACGACTTTCATTGAAGAAGAGCTTTCTCGGGGACGAACGGCGCACTCAACGGTTTGCGATTTACGAAAAAAATAAAATTCATTCATTTAAAAAACCCAGATTAACATTAAGACAAATATTTAATGTTTAAAATCACTTTAAATCACTTTAAAATCGAGAAGATCATGTAACTTCTCGAATTGATTGTTCGACTTTTCTATTTGGATCGATTATCGATTATTATCGATTATTTGGATTTGCTTTAGCTGAGTATCTGAGCTGTACTCATTGTCAGTTATGGTAATTTGATTTGCCATTGTTGTCAGAACTTTTTTCTTTGAGATTTTTACTTAGGAAATTGAGTTCTAAAGACTTGAAACTTGTAAAACTTGTAAAACTTGTAAAACTTGTAAAACCGAACTATACGAACTAGTAAAACCGTTACACTAAAATCATTCAAATGCAGTATCTGAGCTGTACTCATTGTTAGTTATGGTAATTTGATTTGTTAACAAAGTTAACAGTTTATCGTCTTACAATCAAATGAAGCTAACATTTTTTCAGGTGCAAAGCGAGATCCGAAAATACCTCGAGAAGCGTCTTCGCTCTTCGGCTTATCTTCTCGAATTGATTGTTCGACTTTTCTATTGGGATTATCGATTATTAGGATTCGCTTTCCCGACCACACATGCTTTTTGAATCGAATAGAATGTTTTCCAAAATAAATCTTGAAAATACGTAGGTGTGAAGTGAAAGATTTTGAATGAAAAGAAGAAAAGAAGAATTCTCATCCAATTTACAGCAGAGTTTATCTCGACGAGGCGTGTGAGAACACAAATTTGATTCAGAACTTTTTGCAGAGCTAAAATAAGAGAATTTTTTTCGAAAAGTGATGGGATTTTCGTGTTTTGTTTCATGAAGAATATAGTTGACAGGCTTAAAAATTCGCAACGAATATCAACAATTAGTTTGTGTTTGGTCAGACAATCCTGCCAGACAAAGCGGCCTAACCAAACTGAGCATAAGATTTGCTTTCCTTATGTTTCAAACTACGATTCTCTAAATGCCACTTTCTATTAGACTATTAGAACTTTCTATTAGAAACCCTCCCATCAAATTGGTCCCCAATATTCCTTTAAATTATTATTTAAAATCAAAATTATATTTTTCAAAAAGTTTCAAAATCTTTTGAAAACTTCTCCATCATTTTCCTCAAATTTCACAAACAAAAATTGTCGCTATGACAACTTTCACAGGAAGTTTTGAGTTAAAATTCCCTGGAGAGATTGATTTGAAATAATGAGAGAAAGCTTGGAATGACGTTTTGGTTAATTGGAAATGATTGGCAATCAATGGAGGTTTGAGAAAGGTTTGAGAAGGTTTGAGGTTTGAGAGAGGTTTGAGAAAGGTTTGAGAAAGGTTTGAGAGAGATCGCTTTTCTTTGAATGAGTCAAATGTTCTCATTGTTTTTACAAAGCTGTATCTTTTTTGTCAGTTGTCAACAAAAAAACAATCCGTCTTGTAGTTTACATCTTTTACGATCTTGTCTAAACAGTTAATGAGTTCATTTTGAGTGTTTGAATGGTAGAACATTGAGATTAAACAATTCAACGATTGTCTAAGCCTCTCCTAAAAGATAAAAGCCTCTCCATTTCCTAAAAGATTCTCAAAGCAAGCTCAACTCGAGTTTACACTTTAAAACATTCACAACAAAGTCGTTTTTGGCTTGGCTGCCATTTTGAACAACAGCTGTTAGCTGTAGATCTGAAAATTTGTAGCCATACGCATTCTGGGATAGAGGATCTGAATCCGTTATTAGTTTTTGAGAAAATTTAATTTCCGAGCCAATACGATTATCACAAAACTCTTTAAAAACTTGGGTAATTAAACCGAATGAAATATCCAAAAATAGAGCATTTTTCTTTAAAAACTAATAACAACTTCGAATTCCTCATCCTCAAAAACCCCGTGATTTCAAATTTTCAGCCAAATCGCCTTCAAAAAAGTGCTAAATCTACGTACGGCCGTACGGAATGTGTTTAAAAAAAAGTACGATCTACGGTAACATTTCTCAAAAAGCATTCTTTAAAACCCATTCTAAACAAAGCAATGATCTTGTTGCGTCATTTTCCAAAATTCTTTCCCCAAGCAGGCACATATACCGGCACACATACATTTGGGCTGATTTGGTTTGATGGGATTTGGGATTTGGGATCTCGATTTGGATTTGGACAAAAAACTCAAGGTTTCAACATCAACTTACTGGATTATGGAGGATGTTAAAGGACATCAAATCAAAAAACATCACACTTAGTTTCGTTTTTCCGTTTTTGACGTCAGTTCCGTTTTTCCGTTTTTGACACCTACGATTTCATACAATCTAATGAAGAAGGAAGCAGTTTCGTCTTGCCTATGGCAACTTGCTTTGTCAAATAATATGCGACAAGGCGGAAACTGTTACTTACTCCAAAAAACCTTTACTTATTTTCAAAGAAGTCAGCCAGCCATTCCAGATCTCAGAGCAAGCTTTAAAGTTTAAAGCATCTGTTTAAAGTATATGTAAAATTAAAGTAAATAGCAAGAGATCTTGATACCGAAAAAATAAACAATTAGAAACTATTAGGTTGTCCAATAAGTAATGCGTGTTACTTATTTCGAAACTATTGCGAAATCGCTTCGAGCAAATATATGCTCTTTTTAATCATCAGCATCTTGTGTTTATTTTTATATATTATTTTATTCATTTGCCTTTGTTTTATAATAGATATGTTGTTTTGCAGATGAAAGACAAAAGTTTGTTGTCCGCGCATCAATGCTGTATGATTTCAAACGAGGTAAAACTGCAGCGGATTGCCATCGAACTATCTGTGCCGCATTTGGAGAGGATTCAATTTCAATCAGCCAGTGCCAGCGCTAGTTTAAACGATTTGCGGATGGAAACGAGTCGTTAGAGGACGAGGAACGCGCTGGAAGGCCAGTCGTTTTTGATAACGAAGCTTTGCTTAACACCATTGAGTCTGATCCAACTCAAACTACTCGTGAGTTGGCCGAATTATTTGGTTGTTCCAAATCAACAATCGACAATCATCTCCATGAGATTGGAAAATTTAATCGATGCGGAAAGTGGCTTCCCCACAAATTGGGTGAAGCGAATAAAGCTGCTCGTGTATCAATTTGTGGGTTTCTCATTGGCCAAACAAAGAACTCTGGTTTTATTGATTCCATCGTTACTGCGGACGAGAAGTGGATTTCTTTTGACAATGCAACGAGGAAGCACCAGTGGTTGTCGCCGGGAGAAGATCCGAAACCGACGCCAAAGCCAGAATTGCATGGAAAGAAGGCCCTATTGTGCGTATGGTGGAATTCTAAAGGAATCGTACATTTTGAAGTTCTAAACCCCGGTCAAATGGTCACTGCTGACTTGTACTCTCAACAATTGGAAAGAGTGCAGCAAGCTCTTTGTCGTAAAGGAGAGGACACTTCGATGATTAAACTGCAGTTTGACAATGCTCGTCCGCATATTGCAAAAATCGCACAGCAGAAGATTGAGAAGCTTGGATGGTCGACTGTCCCACATCCGCCGTATAGTCCAGACCTGGCTCCATCTGATTTCCATTTGTTCCGTTCGATGGCGCACGCTCTTGGAGAACACAAGTTCAAAAGTGTTGACGAGGTGCAAAAATGGCTCGACGATTTCTTCTCATCGAAACCAGCTTCATTCTATTATGACGGACTTCACTCTTTGCTGGGACGATGGAGAAATGTTGTTGATTGTTGTGGAGAATATATCGATTAATAAAGTTCTCTTTTGTTAATTTTGTGATATTTTGAAAATCGTGTCAAAACACGCATTACTTATTGGACAACCTAATATTAGACTATTAGAAATAAACGATTAGAAAAAAGACGACCTGTTCATTCTTATCTTATAGTTTTTGGCTTTTTGAGGAAATTTGGTTTCCAAAATCGGTACAATTTTGCTTTAAAAAGTGTACATTTTTGACGTAAACAAAGAAAATTCTTTTGGCATAACTGAAATACGTTTGACTTTATCTAAACATTTGTTCATTTATTTCATAAAACGTTCAACCATATCCATATCTATCATTTCCATCATTTCCATCAAAGAAATCTCGATTTGTCATCGTTAATCTTGCAGTATTCCCTTGAAAAAAGTCAAATTATAACGTTTCAAAGTACTTCAATAGGAAAAAAAAATCCGGATTACAAGTCGAATAACAACTAGAATTGAAATTTAAAGTTAAATGATAATCCCAAGAAGTTCATCGGTACTTAAAAACAAAAGAAACTACGATAATTTCTTGAATTTCTTCAAAGTTTGTTTATAACTCTTTTCCAAAAAGAACTGCCAGAATTTGGAATCGACTCTCCAGAGTTTTGAGAGAGTCCAATAGTCTCGAAACCTTTAAATTATCTGTAGATGATCTTGATCTTGAAGCTCTGATGGGTTCTTGACGTTATCTGTGCTACCCACATTTTACATATATTATATCGTGTTTCTTTTTATCGGCCCTTTTCGTGTTATGTGTATGAATTGATGTGTTTTAATCTTAAATCTAGCGCTTTATCTCAGGTCCTGAATAAAGTATCTATATATATATATATAATCTCAATCTATTACTTCAAAGAAGATCTTCAGTCAACAAAACTGATCTAAAATTGGCTGAGGAATTTGGAAAAGAATTCCAACAAGAATTCCAAAATTAACAAGAATTCCAACAAGAATTCCAAAATTTCTCTTCTCTTCACCTCATTGAAGCTATTCACGGAAATCATTGGAGTGAATCAAAAAAAAAAACATTTTCCAAAGTTTTCCCTAAAATCCTTTCACTTTTCAAGAATTCCTCAAAAATTCCATCCTTTTTACTTATCTTTAACGGGAAAACAAAAGGAAAAAGCTAAACTCCGAGAAAATTTTCACACATTTCTTTCAAAACGAATGAAAAGACTCCAAAATTTCCATTAAATAATAAATTTTTAAACTTTTGCGAATCTTTTGTGAATCTTTTGCGAATTCATCCTCGTCATTTACTCATTTATTCATCATTTACTTTACCGTATACTTGCATATTTGCATAGATTATTTGCAATTTCGAGATCCACTAACAAAATATTTATTCTGGATAAGAGGAAGTTAAATATTTTTTTGGGAAATGGAGGAGTTGAAGGGATGAATGCAAGTGACGAAATGAGGCCTGCAATTCGACAAATAAACCCCTTTCATTTTCACATTTACTTAAAGATATCTATACTTTTTGCTAGTACTATAGCTGGCTAATAGCTGACTAATAGCTGACTATAGCTGACTAATAGCTGATTATAGCTGACTATAGCTGACTATAGCTGACTATAGCTGGCTAATAGCTGACTAATAGCTGATTATAGCTGACTATAGCTGACTATAGCTGACTATAGCTGACTATAGCGACACTGGCTAATAGCGACTATACGACATAGCTGACTAATAGCTGATACTATAGACTATAGCTGACTAATAACTGATTATAGCTGACTATAGCTGACTATAGCTGACTATAGCTGACTAATAGCTGACTTATTCTATGTGTACTTTGTGCTTAGAACGAAAACGAAAACACAATCCTCCTAGCGCACTGAGCTTTTGTGATTTCTTTCTGCTAGAAAACAAAGAAATCCAGTGGGCGAGCAAAAGATTTTTTTTTGCAAAATCTAATTACAAAGCGAAATGGTTTAAGCGGAAAACTAACCAAAAACTACTTACACTTATAAACTAACTAAACTACTCACAACTATTTACACTTAGAGTCCTTTAATTAGAGAACCAATCCCTCTAAAACTCACTCGCATTTTTTTCATTTTCACTTTCTTCTTCGCTCCATTAACACACATTGAATCGGCGAGAAATAGCAGTTCTTGAATGAATTTAACGCGGATCGTTGCTCAATCTAGAAATTTTGGGAAAATCAGCAGAAAACGGTCAATGATAACAAAGGAGATAAGAAAGAAATGAAGAAAACTAATAGAATAGGTAAAAGAAGTGGATCTTGTCTGGAATACGAGTATTTTGAGGGTCGATAACTTTTTCTGACTCTGAATCAAATGCGAATCTGGATCAAATCAAATGCAAATGCGAATTTAGTTAAATTTATTCTAAATCTTGATAAAATCTAAGCAGATTATGAATCAATCAATCGATTTGGCATCAATAATTTCATTTTTGAACTGTTATCTTGACAGATTTTGAATTCCAATGTTGCGATGGGACCAATGGCCAAAATGACCATGTCATCAATGGCCAAATGGCCATGTCACCAATGGCCAAATGACCATGTCACCAATGGCCAAATGACCATGTCACCAATGGCCAAATGACCATGTCACCAATCGCCAAATGGTCATGTCACCAATGGCCAAATGACCATGTCATCAATAGCCAAATGGCCATGTCATCAATGGCCAAGTGGTCATGTCACCAATAGCCAAATGACCATGTCACCAATGACCAAATGACCATGTCACCAAACGCCAAATGGCCATGTCACCAATGGCCAAATGACCATGTCACCAATAGCCAAATGGCCACATCACCAATGGCCAAATGATCCAAATCATCAATGGCCAAATGATCGCTTTGCCAAAGCCAACTAAACTAAAACTATCATTTAAAAAGCCTTGATTATCCTTTTTAAACTTTAAAACAAAAACTAGTTAAATATTATATTTTAAGAAAGCTATAACCCTCAAAATACCTTACTGGATTCCAGACAATACCCTTTTTCCCCAAAAAAAAGAAGTTCCCAACAACTCAAGCTCTACTCAAAACAAACTTAACTTGATTATTGAAATATTCAAAAATAAAGCCATTATCTTTTCCTCAATAACCAAGCCAACCGATTTCCCCAAAATGATTCCCTTTCATACTTTTTGCAGCCCTCTCCTATTCACCGCTATTCGCGGCTCCTCAAGTTTACCTCAATAAACACCTCGTCTCTATGGAAAGCCTTTTCTTTTATAGAATTTTATAGAAAAATTACTTCTTCCATATAAGCTAAATAATTTTTGTAATTTCCAACCTGATGTGGTGATCGTTTCTTCAACTCTTGATCCCATGGTGAGGACAACGCTCGGCCTGTCTCCAATTGACGCAAGGCAGCCCTAGAAAGCTTTCTGTAAGGTTACAGTAAGCTAAGTAAGTTAAGTAAGTTAAGTAAGCTAAGTAAGCTAATTAAGTCAAATCGTAGAGCAAAATCTACAACACTGAATATCTTTAAAGTTATTCAACAAAGCTTGGATACACATCCAGTCGACTGCCCATTAAACACTGTCTTGGACACTGTTTTGTTTTTCAAAGTGCTTTTAAACAAAACTTCAAGCATTTATTTGTGTATTTATTAGTTTAAAATCATAATCTTATAACAAAATATGATAGAAATAAGCTTTTTTTTATCAATTTAGTTGACTCAGCTCACTTATTCAAACATTTTTTTTTCGATCGCTGTTGGTTGGTTGATAATATTTGATTTGGTTAATTGATTTGGTTAATATTTGGATAATATTTGATTTGTTTAATTGATTTGGTAACATCAACTCTTCAGTGTAATCTTTTTCTTTTTTTTGTAATCTCTTCAGTGTGATCTGTAACCTTAACTCACCCTCACCCATCCCTTCCCGTTTCAACTAATTCCCTAGTTTCAATTCCATTTCCGCTTTCGCTTTTTCACTAAAATCTTATCAATTAATGATAATATTTGAGTGTGAATATTGTTTATTATCTCTATTTCAGTCTAACTAGATTTTATTTTAGCTAGATTTTATCTGTAAAATTTCCTCTGATACTCACATTCTTCGATTCAAATAGGCTTGCGCCTCATGGTCGTCGATTCCTTGCGCCGAGTTGCTCCAACATCTGGAAATGAGGAATTTAAATGAAGACTTGAAATAAAGAATTGAAATAAAGAATTTCGATTTAAATATGATTTTCGTACCTGGTAAGCTTTTTCGAAATTTTATTTAAAAACAATTTGTAAGCTAAAGTTGAAGTTGAAAGTTGTACAAATCATTGAGTCTGACTCCTAGAGGTAAACTCAAATCTAAGTCTATTCTGGATTCTGGAAAATAGCTTTGCATAATGATTTTAGACTTTAGCGATCTTTGACTCAAACATCAACTCTTCAGTGTAATCTTTTTCTTTTTTTTTTGTAATCTCTTCCGTGTAATCTGTAACCTTAACTGATCCTGACCCATCCCTTCCTGTTTCAACTAATTCCCCCCGTTTAAACTAATTCCCCAATTTCAATTCCATTTCCGCTTTCACTTTTTCACTAAAATCTTTCACTGAGTTGTTAAAGAAGAGAAAAATTGAAAAATTGCTGAACACATTTGTTTTCTGACAATGGAACTCCCCGATTCGAGGAGAATTTGCAAATTTTTAGAGAGAGAGAAAAAAAGATTCAATGAGTTTTTGTGAAGGCACAACAACGGGAATCAAATTTCACGCGACTCCCCAAAAATGGAAAAGAAATAAAAAAGAAATGGACACACGAGTGTCTTCTTCATTTCAATACATTTCAATACACACACGAAAAAAGTTTAACGAATCTTGTGGGAATCCTTTTTTTGGAAACAAAAAATGTTAAAAGAACGAAAAAGGGGATGTTGATTTAAAGAGGAGAAAGATCTTCAAATCAAAAATCTTTCTATTTTAATGACTTGAAATGCGGGACTTGAATCCAGACTTAGTCTTGCCTTGCCTTGCTTGCCTTGCTTGTCTAGCTCGGCTTACAAGGTACTAGGAAAATCTTTGACTATGAGTTTACTGACTAATCCCTTTTAAACTTGAATCCAGAAATGAATCTTGTATTTGCTTAGTTGAATCGGTGAAACTGGCTTTTCAAACTGGCTTTTCAAACTGGCTTTTCAAACTTGACTTAACAAAAAAATGTTTAAGTTAAAATCCAGGTTTTTTTAAAAACTGACACCAGTGTCGTTTTTCAGTTTCACACTTCAATATCGAAACTGCAAACTTGGCTTCAAACTCATACTGTCCATTGATCCATAGCAAACCAATTTCTAGCCTTGTCTTGATTTTACTGCTGCTGGAAAGTACCAGAGTCAGAGCTGAACTTAGTCTTGTCTTGCCTTGCTTGTCTAGCTGGGCTGTCTAGCTTACAAGGTACTAGGAAAATGATTGACTATGAGTTTACTGACTAATCCCTTTTATTCCATCACTCGATGAATCTCCACTATTTTTCTCAAGTCTCATCTATACTTTTATGTTATTTGATCAGCGAAAAAGACTAACGTCCGCGTTTCCCCCGCAATCTAAGCCCCGCCCCTCTTTGCGAATGGCTGCGCACAGACAGACGGACGTCTCTTCTGCTTTATATATAGTAAATAGTCTTGTTGATGATCTATATAACTATAGATACAAAGTAAAGCCAAGGATCAATTCCATATCATAGTCTTGTCTCTAGAGTCTAAGAGCTATATGACATGCAACATTAAAAATAATATCCCTATCGTTGTAAGAATTTGCTTCTGATTGTAAGAAGGAACGGCTTTATGTTTTTCCAGAAAGTAGCCTAAATTGTAATAATGCGGAAGGCATTATTACAATTTAGGTTATTTTCATTATTAAAATGAAAAGATCAATGGACAGTATTTTGCAAGATTATAGTGCAAGATAATCGCAAATTACCGGTGTTTAGTTGGATACTTGGAAAATGAGTCAGCAGTGGTTAAGTGATGGTTATCGGATTGAAGATTAGAAGGTTAAGTGATGGTTATCGGATTGAAGATTGGAAGTTCTTGAATTTAAAGTTTTTTTTGCTAAAACAACGTGATTCCTAGAACATCGACAACTTTAAAATTGCCTAGATTTCAATCGAACAATGTTAAGATATTAGAGAACTAAATGTTAAAGAATTGAATGTTAAAGAACTGAATGCTAGAGAATTGGATGTTAAAGAACTGAATGCTAGAGAACTGTATGTTAAAGAACTGTATGTTAAAGAACTAAATATCAAACTTACAATAGATTTAGCTTTAGTATGCGAGTATTCTTACAATTTTCTAAACTGAAAATGTTATTGTTACTTGTCACTTTCATGCCAGACAATCTAATCAATAGTCTTCTTAGATTATTCAATCAATCAATTCAATTCAAATCAATCTAGAGTACGTTTCTATCCAACTTAATTTCTATTCACCTACCGTACGACGAGGAGAAGTGCGGCAAAGAGAGCGAAACTCCTGAAGAAGCTCATCTCGGCGAGAAGAAAATGGCGGATGAAATGGAGATGAAATGGAGATGAAACTTCGAATGAAATGAATTTCAAGAAGAAGGGGAATCGGATGGAGAGATCGGATTAGAAGTAAAGAAAAAAAAGAAAATACAATGGATATCTCTTCTGGAGAAAAGAAGGGAGGCGACTTGATTGAAAGAAAATGGGCGTGGTTTGGATAGAGTTTGTGAAGAAAGGAGTTAGGCAAAGATTTCTCACAAAAGCAGGCTCATTGGTGTTGATTTGTGAAAAATGGGCACTGATATGCTGAATAGATAACTGTTGAGGTGAAAATTATAATATTTGAGAAAAGCCAGAGTCTCAAAATAGTTGTTCGAGCGTCGACAATCTGGTGATATTATTTTCGTGAAAATCTTGCAAAAAAATCCTTCACAAAACTGAAAGCTTTACAAATATTTAGTAGTATGTACAGTACTGTTGGTTAGATAATCTGAAGATAACTGCTTACCTTTTTCACAATCTCTAGATCGAGTCCGAATTCGAGCGAACCCCGGTCAAGTATCGATCCGTTTACCCATTCACCGCCCGTAACTCAAACGAGATGTCGCTGAAAGTGGCGAGTTTTACAGAAAAATAGAAATTGTGTAAATTGTGTGTGTTATGGAAGTATTATAAAAACTTATAGATCTTATTTGAAAACTCTAGGGTCAATTGGTGACTTTCCGACGTGAGATCGACGCGAATTGGATGGAAGGAGCGAACAATTTGGGGGAAATGGGCATTTTCCCGAGTTTTTATGTGAGAAGGTTGGAGTTGAATTTAAAACCTACACTACTGGACAATGAAATATCATATTTGAAAAAAGATCGTCACCTTCGCGCGTCTGTAACTCCCTTGTCTTTGAGCTTAAACTATTGGTGTTATACATTTTCTGAAAGCTCTTTTCAAGGGCTACACAATGGTAATATTAATATTTAGAAATACGGTAAAGACAATGGAGTTACAGACGCGCGAAAGTGACGATCTTTTTTCAAATATGATATTTCATTGTCCAGTAGTGTATAATTGAGTTGTTGTCGAGCTCGAAGACTTGGTTATCTCAAAATCAACTCCATTTCACAACTGTAACCGACAACTGTAATCAACTGCTCTTACAATTATTTAGGTATATAATTTTCGGAAAAGCTTTGCGAATATTTAAAGGCTTTCCTACCCAGCGAGTCCATAGCTGCCATAGCCATAGCCGCCATAGCCATAGCCGCCATAGCCACGAAGAGCCCTGTATCCTAGTCGAAAGGTTAAGGGCTCAATCCTGACAACTAGTTTGTTGATCTATGAGTTTAGTAGTTGAATGGCGTAGTGGTAGTGCGCTACGCTGATGTTTTTGCGTTCCTGGTTCGAATCCGGGTGCAACTTTTCTTTTTGGTTTTTTTAAAAACAGTTTCTAGCACTTTTTTGTTTTACCATTTTATGGAAAAAGTTGAGAATACAAGAAAACTTTGCACATCCAATTTATGAAGAGATTATTTCCAATCAACTGATGTGTTGACACATCGTGTCATTTGTGGTTCTTTCAAACAAGTCTGACAGTTCTCATAGCTAACTTTTAGCATGTTGGCTTGCCCTAGACGTATTCAACTACGCCATTCAGCTACATTTTTCCCTCCCTTAACTTTCCTTGTTAAAGGCAGTGTCTTATTTGTGCCAATACCATTTTTTAGCCACCTTAAAACCATTTTTTCTGGCCTCGGAGGAAGTCCGAGGTAGATTTGAATACAGATTCGGAATCAGCGCAAAAAACTGGTCTAGTGTGCTAGGCCACGTTGGTGGTGATAAGTTGTTTTAAAAGTTTAAAAGTTGGTGATAAGTTGACGAACTTCCCTTGTTAGCTTTACTGCACGAAACACTTGGGTTAATGAATCAAATTGGACTTGACTCAAGACTTTAAATAGAAAACTATGCTCTAACTCTTTAAATAGAAAACTATGCTCTAGTAGAACGCCACCTTTATAATGACGAGCCCTTATAATAGTGTTTACGATAGGTTTTCCACCAGATGCTTTGATCACGATGCGATTACAATGAGATCGATCTTCATCATAATCATTCCGGTGTTCATTCGTCGGCTCATTTCTCTCGTTCATCATATCATCAACAAAAAGAGGCACTTGTCATAAATTGGGTGACGATATCAACGACTTTTTGGAGAGAATGGAATGGGGGAATGATCGAGAGATCCCCTTCTCCCTTCAAGGACAATCCATCTCTCCCTTTTTTCTCTTCCATCTGTACACAACGTTTTTTCGATTGTCGTTCAAATAAATCTCCATTTAACCCGAGAAAATTTCCAAGCTTTTACTTGGTTTTCCGGCTTTACTGCTTCCTCTCAATCTCAATTTTTGATTTCAAATTTGTGTCTCAATGTCTAGACAAAAGGATTCATGCTGGCTTTTCTTGAGTTTAAAAAAGTGTTGATCACTTTTAGGGGTAATGGTTTTCAATGCTTGGTTCTCAATGCTTGATTTTCTGCTTGATTTTCAATGCTTGATTTTCAATGCTTGGTTTTCAATGCTTGGTTTTCAATCCTTGGTTTTCAATACTTGGTTTTCTGTGCTTGGTTTTCAATGCTTGGTTTTCTGTGCTTGGTTTTCTGTGCTTGGTTTTCAATGCTTAGTTTTCAATGCTTGGTTTTCAATGCTTGGCTTTCAATGCTTGGTTTTCTGTGCTTGGTTTTCAATGCTTAGTTTTCATTGCTTGGTTTTCAATGCTTGGCTTTCTGTGCTTGGTTTTCTGTACTTGGTTTTCATGCTTGGTTTTCAATGATAATCTATTCAAAGAAAAATTGTTAAAACCTTTATTTTCTAGAGCTGTTCTTTCGTCTCACTTGTTTTTTTTGCAAATCGCAAATAATCGCACCCAATTGCTCTGGCGCGGAAAAGAGAAAAGGAATACTTTTAGTGTGAAAAAAACGATTCCTTCTCGTGTTTCTGAATTCTAAAGCTGTTTAGAATACTTTTACTTTGCAACTGAATGCAAGAAGATTGATTTGATTTGATTTATCTCAAAGAGTAGATTAAGTGTGGTTAAAATTAGTGATTAGCGTCTTTATTACACAAATATAACTATTAAAATCCTTTTAATAAGTAAAAGTATCATCTTTTTTTTTGCTAACTACTCTAATTTTATTTTCTTAACTCTCTTTTTCAACAGAATCTCAAATTTACTTTCCCTCAATCTAAATGAGATTTCGAATGGGTGAAATGACACGGTTTTCAGACAGAAAAGTATCTCGAGAAATCGTTCTGAAAGAAAAAAAAGAGAATTTGACAAATGTCAAGGCTATTCATCCCATTGAGTTTCCTCTTTTCTTTTACCATTTTGAAATTGAGTAAGTTCAAGCAGTTTTTGTTTTACTTGTTCTACTTGTTCTACTTGTTTTACTTGTTCTACTTGTTTTACTTGTTCTACTTGTTCTACTTGTTCAATCAGTTTTTGTAAAAATAGCTTTTTCTTTTTGCTTTTTGCTTTTTGCTTTTTCTTTTTACTTTTTCTTTTCCTTTTTACTTTTGCTTTTGCTTCCATTTTTTTCTTAACCTTGACACTCTTTTTCTCACCAAAATTAAATCTGACTACAAAAGTTGAGATTCAATAAATGAATTTCTGACATAAACGTTGGTTGATTGATCTTTTCGAAGAAGAGTCAAAGATCAATTGTACACTAACAAAACTGTACACACAACTGTACACTAAACTGTACACTAACAAAACTGTACACCTGATAGACTCAACAAAATGAATAGATTCAATCAAAGGTTCGCTTGCGCTGAACCGCCCAAAGATCGTATATAAAACCAAACGACTTCTCATCGAATCTCATCGAAGAACCACTCCACATGGGGATGTTCTCTGGGAAGGAAATGGAAGTGAAGGGAAAAGAAAGAGACAACAAGTGAGTGAGTTAGTGAAGAATTTCTTGTCTCTCTTTCTTTCTTTCTTTCACTTCAGATGAATCAACAGTCAACACGTCAAAGAGAGTAGAGAAGAACACACGTAGTATTCACTCGAGAAAGAGAAAAGATGAGGAATCGAGAGCCCTCAGGGAATCGACGATGGAAGCAAGAATTTGGGGAAGACTTCTTCGGGATACAAACCATCCATCTATTTTCAATATTTCGGCTCTTACTCGTTGGGTTTGAAAAGTTTTTCCTTAAAAGCCAGTTGCTTGAGGTGAAACTTGTATTCTATATAGAGATTTAGCCTGATTTTTCTGCCAGACCCAGTCAGACTTGTATCTAGCTTTCAACCCTGCCTCACTTCACTGAAACATTCTTGCACAAAGAGCCATCCTTTATCTTTTCATTTCTTATCTGCTATTTATTGTTGCCAGTCTTACTTCTCTAACTTGTTAGTTCTTGTTGAAATTTTGCTGATTCCGCGAACAGTTTAACATAACTATTTCTATTTCAGAAGACTCACAAGGGAAGATCAAGCGAGTGTAGTGGGCAAATGACACGAACTATATACGATTCGACGCAGAATTTTACGCTGATTCCGAATCTGCTTTCCGTTTCTGTTATGGAGCACTCTGTCAAAAGTTATCAGCGCTTAGCGAACCCTATCGCCTTGTATTCTAGCCGACTACCACTTGCCCACCACTGCTTTCCAAAGTCTCTGGGAAAACTGTTGGTAAACTCGAGGAATGATTTTTAAAATGCCATACAAAATTTTGAGCGCTGATAACTTTTGACAGAGTGCTCCATAACAGAAACGGAAAGCAGATTCGGAATCAGCGTAAAATTCTGCGTCGAATCGTATATAGTTCGTGTCATTTGCCCACTACACTCGCTTGATCTTCCCTTGTGAGTCTTCTGAAATAGAAATAGTTATGTTAAACTGTTCGCGGAATCAGCAAAATTTCAACAAGAACTAACAAGTTAGAGAAGTAAGACTGGCAACAATAAATAGCAGATAAGAAATGAAAAGATAAAGGGTGGCTCTTTGTGCAATTTGCCATTTGTCATTTGCCCACTACACTCGCTTGATCTTCCTTCCCTTGTGACTTGTTAACTACCAAAAATGGTCATTGATCCATAGATGGATTGAAAGAATTTATACCCCTACAACTGAATCCTACAGGGTTCGGCATATTTAGTGTTGCGCTTAAAGCATCTTTTTGATTTTCTAAGACAATATATTAAACTAAGCTGAAAAACAAGAATTAAGCATAAAATCTACGCGTATTTTTACTTAGAATAGAAGAACCGTAAAATTTTCTAATGATTTTGACAACTCTAGTCGAGCAATACAAAAAATGCTATGCGGCGCGGTGCTGATAAACAGTTAACTTCAAGTTTGGAGTCTCTAAAAAAACTCTTTTTTTCATCTTCTTCTGCATTAATACATTTTTAGAGTTAATTATTATAAAAGTAGTGCTTTTTGAGCTCAATTATTGCAAATGCGAGCTTATCTTGACTAACAAAAATAGTCACATTTTTGATAAATTTCATTTTTTCGAGAGCAGCCATATGAAACGAATAAAGTTTTAAATTTTTACATAAATAAATACACAAGTTGATAGCTCTTGCCTAGAAAAAAAATCCAGCAGAGATATACGAAGATAGCTCTATGGAAAATCGAAATAGTTTAACTCTAATGTTAAACTTCTAGCTTTTAAATACTCTTTTATATTCGTATTGTCCCGTACTCATTCCTTTTTATATTCCTAGAAAAAATCCAGCAGAAATATACGAAGATAGCTAGAAAATAGATTCTTCCAAATTTGCAAACTTTAGTTCCACAGATAGACTCAAAATTTTTGATCTTAAATCTCTTAGACACCGCCGCTTGGTCACACGAGTTAATAGAATGTTTCAAAATTGTAAAGGGCAGGCAATCTATCCCTCTTTTTCGAGATTTATTCAAAGTTAATCCCACGGTTAGTTCAAGGAGTTTCGTTCTTTCGTTTTAGAAATTCCAGTCACCTCCAATAAGTTTGTGTATAACTCTTTCCCAATAAGAACTGCCAGAATTTGGAAACGACTTCCCAGAGCTTTGAGAGAGTCCAATAGTCTCGAAACCTTTAAATTATCTATAGATGAGCTTGATCTTGAAGCTCTGATGGATTCTTGACGTTATCTGTGCTGCCCATATACACTTGTCTTAAATATCGTTGCACTTATAAATTAACCAATTATAAATCAATTTCTAAATCAGTTTTTCGCGAGGAATTCGAATTTCTTACTTTTAAAATCGTATCTTTTATCTAAAATTAGCAAAAATGCAGAAAATACAGTACGGGAACTTTTGGCGCACCCTGTATTACATATATTATATCGTGTTGCTTTTTATCGGCCCTTTTCGTGTTATTTGTATGAATTAATGTGTTTTAATCTTAAATCTAGCGCACTTTATCTCGGCTTCTGAATAAAGTATCTATACATTGACAAAAATCTCCTTTGTCAAATTGTTCTTTAAATGATATTCATTCATTTCAATTTTCAAATGGATACATACGAAATTGGAAATGAGTTTTCTTTTCAGAATTTTGTGTTTAGGATTTAGTTCGTTTCGAACAACTTGATTCGGCCCGGATTCTTTTAGTTTACAAAATTCAATCGTTCCAATATTTCAATAGTTCAATAGTTCCCACACATCAATCAAAATATTTTTTCTCAGGCCCTGAATAAAGTATCTATTTATATGTCGTAGCCGATGAAGGATTTCAGCCGAAGAATTCTGAGACTTAATCGGCTAGCCGAAGAAGGTTTCGCTAGCGAAAAAATTTGAGACTTCTTTGGCTGAAATCCTTCATCGGCTACGACATATATAAACTTATAAATCTATTGAAAAAATATGTTAGTTTTTAGATATCTAAACGAAAAACCTGTTAACTCTTTTGATTTTCTGAGAAAATGATTCTTTTTTTAAGAATGAAACACTATAGATACCGCATTTCTTACATTCATAAGTGATCTGTACATTCATTCATCCATAATAATTCACTTATTCTTTGCTTTCCATATTCATAATCAAATCTTGAAAGCAATTCTATCGAGCAAAGATGCCGACGATTAATTAGAACATAAGTAGAAAGAGAGATTGGATTGAAATCGGATTCTCGTGCCAAGGCAAATGATTCATCGGGGAAAGGGTATGGACAAAATGGTGACACAAATTTGTTTCACAACAAGGGAAAAGAGGGGAAGACAGACGGGTCTCAAGGGGGCAAATCTCGAGAAAGAGGAGACTTTCATATGGGGTTTTCCATATGGTTTGACCCATCGAAAGGGAAAGGACCAGCCGTTCAGCCGGCGAAATAGCCCGGTCACTCTTAAAGGAAAGGAAAAGAAGAGACAAAAGCTTGCAGAGTTGAAAAGAAAGAGTTGTTGGTCCTCTTTCCCCGACTTCTCTTGTTGATCTCTTGTGGCTGTTCCCCCACACTTCTTCATTTCCCTCTCTTGATCCCTAACCCTTTTTCTCTTCAATTCGCTAAGCATTGATTTCCAGGAGTTTGATTTGGTTTTATTTGATTTCTAGAAAAGATTAGATAATTCTTTTTTCCAAATTTTGGTATTAATTTGATTTTTGAAAAGTTTAGCGATAAAAAAAGTACAGAGTGCGGCAAAAGTTCCGACACTTTTTGTAAACGGGCAGTTTGACTTGGAAAAAACGCGATTTTTGAAAAACTAACACCGGATTATAAAAATTCAGATATTTTTACCCCCTAATATACTTTTTTACACAAAAATTGCCATCTAAACAACCTTTTGATGAGGATGTTTAAAGGTCGTTACAGCAGTTTTTTTTTTGCTGTTGAGATTTGGGTGCTCTTCGTAGAATCGCTTGAAAATCTTTCGCTTTTGAGATATAAAGTTTTTTTGTGGCTTGTTTTCAAGAAAAAAAAAAACTCAGTTCTATCAAATGGTAACAGCAGTTTTTGGAAAAAATTTCATTCTGCAAAGTTTAAGTCAACTTTCGCAAAAATCTTCAGCGACCAGACCGGGATATAAAAAATTCTCGTCAAAAAGTTATTGAGAGTTGAAATCTTTTTATGAAAATGGCTATATTGGGGTGAAACTACCTAAATTTTTAGAATCCGGCGTTAGTTTTTTGAAATTCACGGGTTTTTGAAGCCAAAAAAATAACTTCTTACAGAAAAAGTGTCAGAACTTTTGCCGTGCGGCATGCCTGTATAGAAAAGTTGATAAAATATGGTCAGAAGTCGATCAAAATTCTCGTCTCAATCTTCCCACGAACGATTTTTCAGTCATCGAAAAGAAATCACAGAAATGTTTGTTCATCGTTTTCTTCTTTTTTTTTTCTTCTTCTTTTCCATTCCTTTCGGAATCAAGGCGAAAAAAAACGAGGAATTCTTTTCTCATTGACAGACAATGAGAGCAGTTTTCCCCAATTGGTGGCCAATTTTAGCTGCTTTGGCGTGAGAATTTCCTGTCTTTTGGCTGTTCATTACCAATTTCTTGCTTTATTTTTCTAGATTTTGGCCTTATCCATATTTCAATTCTTCACTAATCATCAAAAATGGAGCTCGTAAGACGTAAAGCTTTAGCTGGAAAAGCTTTATTGATGATTAGTGAAGAATTGAAATATGGATAAGGCCAAGCTGGAAAAGCTTTAAGAAGGTCTTATTTTACATTTTAATATCATATATATTACAATTTCATTTTTCTATCTTTTGGCCTTATCCCTGAAATCGCATGATTCCATATGTCAATTCTTCACTGGCTCGTAAGACGTAAAGCTTTAGCTGGAAAAGCTTTATGAGCTCCCAGGGAATCAACCCAAAGAGAGCTTTTTGCTCTCACCAAAATCTTGAATCTAAAACAGCAATCCAACTAGGTCTTATTTTACAACTTCTATGTGACTGGACCAGTTTTATAATATTTACATATTTATATTCTATGCTAAACTCTTTGATATTCAGTTATGCTAATCTCTACCCTTTCCTAGAGATCCCAGAAGCGAGAAAAAAAAGCCATCCTTTCACTTCATTTTGGTCGTTCTTTTCTTCAACTTTTTTATATTTTCTCTAATTTATCTCTAATTTAGACGATTTCTTGCAAGATTCTATAAAATTGATCTCTTTTCTTGATTTTCTTTTGAATGAGAGCCTTTGTGGGTGAGGATGAACACTCGACACAACCAGGCACATCAACAAAACAGGTAAAATGGTTGAAAAATAGGAATAGTTTTAATTAGAATTTGTAAAAGATTCACAGTTTTTCGAATTTACAGTTCTTCGAATTCACAGTCCTTCGAATTCACAGTTCTTTGAATTCACAGTTCTTATAAATTGAACAACAAAGCTTATCTTTTATTTAAAGTACAGTTGAAAGTGTTTTTATCTAATTACTAAACAATTTTGAGTTGATATCTTTCAGAATGCAGCTGCGGTGGATCTGGCGAGAGATCTTGAGGAGTTGAATCGCTTGCAAGTGAGTTGAGAAAAAAAAGAGGACCAGAGAAAAGGAAACGGATTTCTCGAATAGACAAATAAATTGAAAACCTTTAGCAGAAAAAAATGAGTTGTTTCTTGGAGCGATGAGAAGAGAGTGAGTAGGATAGGGACAAGAGAAGGGTAGTTGATGGTGGAGCTAATTCAGTATTGGGCACCCCTCCTCCCCTTCTTCTCTTCCCAAAGTGCATTCTGAACATTGCTTTCCTTTTCCCCTTTTCCATCCACTCATTCATTCATTCATTTGCTTTTGTGTTCATCGAATATCTGTTATTCGAAATGATGGTTACTTAATGGGGTTTGAATGATTCTAGATCTTGATCTTGAATGCTTCTAGATCTAGGCGACTACAACTTCTCAAAAAAAGATTATAGTCGCAAAAAGAAGATATTCAGCTGTAAATTACCTAAGAATTTTCGGGGTTTCAATCAATTTTCAATCAATTGCAGCTATTCATTTTATACAGTCTATCAATTGAATTTGATTTGTCTAAACTGCGGCTACGCTTTAATAATAAACTTTAACCATTATCCAAAACAATTCAAACTTTTTGAAAGATCCATTCCACTTTCTTTGATCAATTCTCTTTCACAAATCTCAATTTCTATTGATTTCCCATTTTTTTTTATGAAATTTGAGTCACTGCATCATTTCCAAGTCAAATTTTAAAGGGAATCATCCTTCGTATTCAATCCAAATACGAGAAGACTTTAATGGCTTTATAAATTTTTACGATAAACAAAATAGCAATAGATTTTCTAAACTTTAATGGAGTAACTTGTTTGGTTGTTTGCTTGATAACTTGTTTGTTTTACTCATTTTAAATAGAAAACCACGAGTTCAAAGAGCTTTTGCTTAGTCTTTGTTTATATATATGTTATGTTCGATTTAGATTTTCGTCTGATTTAGATTTTGAGTCTAAATCAGACGTCGGATTTAGACTCAGTTGTTGTTTTATGTTTTACAGAAGTTTTCAGAATTTTTTTTACCGGTTTGAATTGCAAATAAGTTTATTTTTAGAACAAACAACAAAAGATGCAAAAACAACAAAATTGAACAAGACATAATCAACTTAAATTAGACTGCAACAACTGCCATTTTTTGTACAATGTTTCAAAAACGAACTTTGATTGTAAAAATTTGTAAAATGCAAATTTTAATGTAAAATGCAAATTTGCCTTTCACTTTTTCTCACTCCCCAAAATCTCGCGGCCGAAAAAAGGACCAAAACACGACCTCGAAATTTCGAAACAAAAAATAGCCTATGGGATAGATTTTTGGACGCTGATTTCAAATCTGCAAGCAGATTTTTGCTAGCTCCTCTCAATCGCGAGATATTGGCAAGTTTTGGTTAGTTTTGGTTTTGGTTTTGGTCTGTTTTGGTTTGTTTTGGTTTTGGTGGTTTTGGTTTTGGTTAAGTTTTGTTTTCCGAAGTCTAGTTTAAAACATTTCATTTTCGTTTTTCATTTTCATTTGTCTAATGCCTATTGATTGCCATATAATGATTGTTTTTCTGTCAATTACTTGTTAACAATTAACTGTGAATTAGAGAGCCTTTCTTTCATTTCAATCAATCTTTTAATCGATTTTTAAAGCTATGATTTCCGGATTCCTATTCCGGATTTAGAATATACTATTCTAAATATTCTAGCTTTACTTATGAGGAGAGACTTGCTTTTTTTGAACTAAAAACTTTACAGCATCGTCGCTTTGTCATTGATTTAGTCGAAACTTTCAAAATCCTCCGTAGTAAACAGATTAGCCCTTTGTTTATAGACTTTTTCAAATTTAAACCGCGGTCAGGGCCCAGAAGTGGCTCATTCCTTTTGCAAATTCCCTTTGCTTCCAATGCCTCTTTATCAAATTCATTTCCCGTTAGAGCCGCTAGATTATGGAACTTGCTCCCAAACGACATACGAGAAATTCAGTCGCTTTTCATATTCAAGAAACGTATCGATGCTTTAGATCTAGTGGCTCTTTGCCGTAAGTAATTGGCTTATTGATTTCAGTATGTATTGTATGATTAAGTATCACTGTGCATTTCTCTATGATTTCTTTCACTTTATCGTTTGAATAAAGTATTATTATTATTATTATTCCCAATCGATTTCTTTTTTTATAAGCAAAAAATATCAAAAATCAATAAATATAAGCTTATTGATAGCTTCTTTAGGTTTATATGCTAATTTTCTTGATGCTAACTTGATGCTAACTCTTCTTGGCACAATTGTCAAGTTTCCTTTTGCTCAAAAAAACATACCAAAACATTTTCTTTGTCTATCTTAGTGGAAAAGTCATTTTTTTCATTTCTGCGATCGAATGAATCATAGCTTTCCGCTGTTTTTTTTTCTATGCAAATCACTCATCGCTTCCATTTCACTCCCCAAAAATTCATTCATTTTTTTGTTTAGAAGAAATTCTCTTTAGCTCTTCAAAAATTTCTCCATTTCTGACACATCTGCTTCCATTTTTTTTGTCTCTTGAAAACACAAGAAAAAGCAAAAACATAAACAATTTTCTTTAGAGCAAACGAGCGAAAAAAAGCAAACTCCCCTTTCAATGTCTAGATCGAATTCGAAAATATCGCAACATTTTTTTTTACGAGCTCTTTTTTTATTTGATCTATAGCTGAACAGATTGTTACTACTGATTCATTTCTTTTTTTCATTTCTTCTTTAATTGATTTCTTCTTAACAGAATAACACGATTCAAACCTCTAGCTTAAGAATTAAGATTTGTCTCTTATAGCTGACTGTATTGTGTACAAAAAAAATATTCCCATTTACAGCAAATTCTGGAGCAAATGGGTACCGAGTGTGCGCCGAGTCCATCAACAAGTCTTGATATTCATTCGGGAAGTGAAAAAGCCGAAACAGCATCGATAAAAGATGGAAATGGAAAGGAGGAAGGGAGAAGTGAAAGGCTAAAAGGTTTGTAAAGAAGGTTTGGTTTGAAAGAAGAGACTTTAAACAAGTTCTAAATCTCGATATCTATTGTATTTGAATCGAGTTAAAAAGTTTGTATCCCAATTGATGAGCTCACCTTTTCATTCATCTCTATAGCATGGATGGGGGATAAGTGTGAAGTGTTAATGAACAGCTGTGACACTTTCTTTTTAAGAATGAAAAAGAGACAGTGATCTTTCTCTCTTTTCTTCACCCAATTCGAGTGACAAATCGTCGTAGATTTGCTTTGACACTCTCTCGTTTATTTCTCTCAATTCATTCATTAGTCGATTACATTTTGATTAGAGGGATCAAGAGAAATCGATCAAGAGTACAAGAGCTAAATTTACATACCGTAAATACTGTAATAGTACCCCGCCCCCAAAATGACGGTGCGGAGTGTTGTGTAGTCTAGCTTTGGACGCGTTTTTCTCGACACTGGCTTGTGCTACAATGAGCGCCTAGGTATCAAAAAATAGCTGAAATTCAGGGCTATTTTTTGATACCAAAGACGTATTTTTTGAAAGTACGGGTGCTTTGAAAAAAATGAAATACTAAAAAACTTTTGTGACTACGCTTCCCTATAATGACGGTCGGAGCGTCGCGTAGTCTAACTTTAAACGCATTTTTCTTGTCACTCCTTTATGCTACAATGCGCGTTTAGGTATCAAAAAATAGCCCTGAATTTCAGCTATTTTTTGATACCAAAGACGCATTTTTTGAAAGTACGGGCGCTTTGAAAAAAATGAAATACTAAAAAACTTTTGCGACTACGCGACTGTACGACGGGGGTGGGGTACTATTACAGTATTTACGGTAGATTATTGTAGCTATTTCTAGAGTGATACCAGGATTACTTACTTACCCTTTCATTCATCTCTATAGCATAGAAGAGGATAAGTGTGAAGTGCTATTACTGTATCTTTTCCAAGCTTCAGCGTATCTATCTGGTAAAGTAAAAAGAAAAAACTAACAACCACAAAATCTTCAATCCCTCATTTTCAGCCACTTCAACAAGCTCGCGCAAGTTGATTCGAGTCCCATGCAATCAGAATGGGCCCATTCCATTCACGATTCAAGGAGGCGCTGCTTTGGCCAGGTAAATGCTTAAATCATTGTGTAAAAGGCTCAAATTATAGATTAATATCGGTGGATGTTGTGCGAGCAAATGATCTTGTCGGACTTCTCTCACCGGATGATATCATTGTAACAATTGATGAAATGTATGTGCTTTGAAAACGTTAAATAGTGAGTGAATTAGTGAAAAGGATCAACCAGATGGATCCTATTAGAGATCGAAAGAGGAAGGGATTAGTGTAAAATCCGTTCTACAAGATTAGAGAAAAATGGGGGCTTAAGAATAGTAGAATCTAATAGCTAATATGTTAATAGCTAATAGATTAATCTAATAGTCAATATGAATAAATATAATCAATAATAATAAATAGTCAATAAATAGTATTGTTAAAGTCTTGGAACTTCTAATAGTAAGAGCTTTCTTTCACTCGAAATGGAAACTTTTCGATCATCGACTCTAAAGCGTGCCCCAGCTACTGTACAGTCGGCTGGAACCAGTTAAAACCTTGTTTAATACATAGAGAAACTACGGTAGCATTCATTAAGGATTACGGTAACCGGGGCACCTTTAAAGCTACCTTTAAAGCTACCCGAGCTTGTGTTTGAAAATGCAAGTTACCATGTTATGCAGATGTGCCATGCATCTTTTCTCAGCTAGAATATACTTTTTAATTTACATTTAATTACATTTAATTACATAGAGACTGCTAAATGTTATTTTTTTGGCCCTTTTTAATCAATGACCCTTTCTTAGACCGGTGAGCGGAATGCTTAGATCAACGGCACAAGCTCTCCTTGAAGCGCAATGCTCACAAAAAGATCAAATTGCTATCGAGATTCTGCCGAAAGGTTAGAAAAATTCTGCTTTTTGATAAAATCCATTTTTGAGGTTCAATACCGGATGATCTATGTTTGATATTGTCGGAGAAAGCGATGCCCGATCTACAGACGGTGATTAGGGACAATGTTTATGCGAGGACAGTACCCTGTGGGTTGAATGGAATATTGAATTACTTGAGCAGTTAATCGAACTTCTAAATCCAGATATTTTAATCGAAAACGATCGTTGTCCATTTCCAGACACCACACGAGCGCCTAGAGATGGCGAAGTCGACGGAGAACACTATCGTTTTGTCACCGCCGATCATTTCAACGAGTTGAAAGATGGCGGCCATTTGCTAGAACATGGAACGTATCAAGGTAGGCAATTTCGATTACTCCTTCGCTTCCAATTGTTTTTTTTCTTTCTTCTCCATTCTTCCATACGTTTGTTGATTCAAGATCTTTCCACGGAGGCTTTCCCCCTTCCCCTTTTTCATCCATTGATACCCCTCACACAGCTATTTTCCCCTCTTCTCCATTCAAAGTCTTCCGGCACGTTTTTTCTTTTATTTTTGGGTTTTTGTCTACTGAAAAACTAGCTTTTCATACTTTAAATGAGGCTTTAAAGCTTGGCTTCAAGGCTTTGAAACTGATCGATCTTTAATTGTAAGAATTGTATGAAATTCCTAGATCGTTTTCCTAGACAAAACTTCTTTCCTGATCTACTTTAGTAGATCTACCTTAGTTATTAGAATTACTAGAAACTCTGAAGATTCTGACTGTAAAAACCCAGCTGCCTTTTCCACTAAACGTCATCAGTAGTTGTGATAAGTGAGGAAAGAGAGAGGAACGGCCGGCGACGAGTTTATTTGTTGACCTGATCGGGGAAAGGGGAAATAGAGGGATGCTCGATGAACCTAGATAGATTAAAGAGGACATAAAATGGAAAAGATCCGATTAGAAGAGATAATCATTGAAAGAGTTGAGAAGAGCACTCATTGGCACGTCTCATGGGACTTTCCACAAAATCCGGATCTTTTCCACCAGCTTGAACTGAAAAGATCCCCGTGACCATCCCCAAACTTTCATACGTCAAATCATTTCTGTTCAGCTTGAGTAACAATTGAACACTTGATTCAAGATCTTTCTTCTTTGTTATATAATAGTTTTTACTAGTTGACTGATTGTAATACTACTTCTTCTTATTGTATTGATTGTAATACTACATATTATTGTGTTGAATCGAATACTCCTTCTTATTGTATTGACTCTAATACTACTTCTTCTTCTTATTGTATTGAATCGAATACTACTACTAATTCTTATTGTATTGAATCGAATACTACTACTTCTTCTTATTGTATTGACTCTAATACTACTACTTCTTCTTATTGTATTGAATCGAATACTACTACTTCTTCTTATTGTATTGACTCTAATACTACTACTTCTTATTGTATTGATTGTACTATTAATTCTTATTTTATTGAATCTAATACTACTTCTTCTTATTGTATTAATTGTACTACTACTTCTACTTCTTACCGTTATTTGTTTTTCATTTAAGGACTAAAAACCATTCCATCATTTCATTTAAGAAGAGAAAAAAACAAAAAATAAAAAGAAGACATTGTTGGACCTAGGATAGAATGAATACCTTTTATAAATGAAAGGATGTGGAGAAGGGAAAAAGAAAAGAATTGGTATCAACAGAGCTGAGATAGTAAATAGAATGGAGGAAAGTGGGTGAGAGACAAAAATGGTGGATAAGAGAGGAAACGGTAAGGTGACCCCGCCTCTCAAAAGAGGGGACAGATGGAGCCACAATTACCTGTATCTCTTCATCGCTATTCCCTCTTTTCCCTAGACTGTCCTCTTTCCCTTTAGGTCAATGTCCTCCTCTCCCCTTCCTTAGATGGGCATCTCTCACCCGTCTTAACCCCTTCCCTGTACCCCTTCCCCTTTTTTTTACCTTCGCCTGTCCCTTGCCTCATTGATTCGTTATGGTTTTTGCTAGGATTCTACTTTTTTCTCTTTTCTGCACTGAAATTCAGAATTGAATTGTTTGACTACTGCGAACCCTGTACTCTTCCTTATTTCCTTCACTTTCTCATTGCTGTTTCATTTTACCAAATTTACATTCAAGGTTTTACTAGACTTGCTTTACTGTTCTTAACGATACCCACACAATGAGGGTATCGTTAAGAACCGATCGATTCCAGTTAGTTCAAGATTGTTAAGGACCGAAACTAGCCTTGCCTAACGGTTCTTAACGATACCCACACAATGAGGGTTCGATTCCGGTTAGGCAAGATTATTAAGGACTAGAATCGTTAAGCAAGTCTAGACTACTAGCCTTGCTTAACGGTTCTTAACGATACCCACACAATGAGGGCTCGATTCCGGTTAGTTCAAGATTATTAAGAACTGGAATCGTTAAGTAAATCTAGACTACTAGACTTGCTTAACGATTCGGCTTTACGGTTCTTAACGATACCCACACAACGAGGATTCTATTCCGGTTAGTTCAAGATTATTAAGGATTGGAATCGTTAAGCAAGTCTAGGTTTTACCAATAGTTGATTCTTTCTAGAATTAACTGAATAATTTGTCTATGCTAATTTTTACGCGATTTTTAGATAGCATAGATGAATTTGATGCTTTAGAGGGTCAAAGAACATTCTTTTTCTGAAATTTTTTCTCATAGAATCATTTGTTGTACGTTGGCGATTTTTAAGCCTTCCCAATTTTATTTGGTAACTTTGGTCACTCAATTTCATTTGGTAAAATTTCAAATAGTAATTCAACTCTAAATCCAACGAAAATCGCTCTTTTAAAGCCTCTATTCTAGGAAAAAAACCGGCAAATACTTTTAAAGAAAAGAAAAGAAAAAGAAAGACTGTCAAGTGCACTTCTCACATCTTTTTCTTTTCTTTTTCTTTTCTTTTTCTTTTTAAAAACGTTTTTTCACTCAAAAGTTCTCCTTTCTTTCTTTCTTTAGTTGCCAAAATAGGGATTTATTTTTTTTTTGAAAAGAAGAGCCATTTCACTTCCATTTATGAATAGAGAAAGAGGTAAAGAAAGGCTGTAAATCTCAAATTTGAGGCAATCTTTGCCTCAAATTGTGCTCTAATTTGATCAAAGCTCACTACGCTTATTTTCTTTGATTTTATTATCTAATAAATTGAACAAAACAACAGTAATCTTCAATTTCAAAGGCTGAAGGCTTGAAGGATATCTTCAAATTAAATTATTCTTCAATTCAATTCAATTAAAAACAAAAGTTCTTTTCATCAAGATTGATCTTCTTTCTACAAATCACATTCAATTTTTACTATTGTTTTTTTTTGGAAAAGAGTCAAACTTTCAGTTTATCTACTATTGTTTTTTTTTCTAAATGTATCCCTCTTCTCACAAACAATTTCATGAGAGATTTTTGATAAGAAAAGATGCAATGATTCACTGCTTTTTGCTTGCTTCAACTTTTTTTTATTTACAAATCTTTACTAAGGAGACAAAAGACAAGAAAGACAAGTTCACAAATAAAAAGAGATTTTTAAAGAAAACTACAATTTGGAAAAGAGCCAAACTTCCAATTCATTCGTTGATTTCATTTCTTTCCATTATTTCTTGATACCGTATTTACTCTATTAGTGGGGTCCCCCACTATTTTTTCAATCCCCTTCCAGACGACCCCACTATTAGAGAGGACCCCACTATTAAGAAATTTAAAAGAACAAAAACCAAAGTTTAAGTTGAAAAGATCAATTTTCTCCGAAATTCTTGAAAAACAAGTTTGGCTTCATATTTTATTTAGCTTTAACCGTAACAAAACATAACAAACAGAAAAGAACAACCAAGAGATCAACAATTGAGTACACTTTCGTTACCAATATTAGAGAGGACCCCACTATTTTTTCAACCCCCCTCCAGACGACCCCACTATTAGAGAGGACCCCACTATTAGAGAGGACCCCACTAATAGAGTAAATACGGTACTTGATTCTAAATGGATTCTAAATAATAACCTGAACAAATATTTTGTTTATAATGAACAGGGATTGTTTTTTAGCGATTTGGTAGGTCGATCCTCGATCGATCGTTTCCTCGATCAATCGTTTCCTCGATCGATCGTTTCCTCGATCGATCGTTTCCTCGATCGATCGTTTCCTCGATCGATCGTTTCCTCGATCGGGTCGGTCACATGCCTAGCCAAAAAAATCGATATCTAACACCCCATACCCCATCATTCCCAAGATCGTAACTTTGTCGGCTGTGTCTCGAAAAGAGACAAAGAAATTTGCATATGGTTTGCTCGTAGGAGACCCCATTCCTCTTTTCCCCCCTCTTTTTCTATATTTCACTTTGTCGGCTTCTCTCTTTTTCTTTTCTCCCTCTTCAGGCCATATTTGTGTCCCTTCTTATTATTCCTTTGCATTAATCTTTCTATTCTAGAGCTTTTTCCTTGAGTATTTCCCTTTTAGCCGACTTTTGATTGATCCTTTTTGACAATTAAATGGCTAAAAATGTAAAACAAAAATTTCAAAACAAATAAACATCACTCAAAAACTCAAATCTCTTTTTGTCCTTTATTTTTCCTTTTTTTCTGAAAGATAACAATCAATCGGGATGTCAATTTCTATTTGGAAAAAGATCTGTGAAGGGTAAAGATTTCAAGATAAACCAGTTCATGAGAAATTGTTTTCCAAAGATATTTTTAGCTATATTTTATCTATATCTATTTTATTCATCCCCAATTTCTGAATCATATGCTCAAATCGGAATGGAAGAATTGGATTGAGAAAGGGAAAAGGGGATCGGAGTGAGATCTGGAATCGAGATCTGCATTGGCTTCTTTCCATTTCAATATTCTTTCCATTTCAATCAATTCTTTCATTAAAATTTAACTTTATACTGTTTTTGATTATCTTTTTTCATCTAAAATCTTATCTAAAATTTTGCTTTAGCCTGAAATCAAATCTGTATAGAAAAGGAACCAAATCTGTAGAGAAAAGGAACCAAATCTGTATAGGAAAGGAACCAAATCTCTACCGAAAAGGAACCAAATCTGTAGAGAAAAGAAACCAAATCTTTACCGAAAAGGAACCAAATCTGTATAGGAAAGGAATCAAATCTCTGCCGAAAAGGAACCAAATCTGTATAGAAAAGGAACCAAATCTTTACCGAAAAGAAACCAAATCTTTACCGAAAAGGAACCAAATCTGTAGAGAAAAGGAGTAGAGAAGTATTCTCTTACAACTTAGACTCAAGTCAAAAATGAGATATTAATTTAGATTTAATTTAGAACTTAATTCTAAAGCATGCACCTGATTTAGCTATAAGAAACCTTAAATACAAATTGTTTTCAGCATTCAGTGACAATTTGCATACGAGACTTTTCACAACTTTAAACCCATAAAGATCAATCTTTCTTGGTTTAAGTTACCCAAGGAAAGCTTTCTATAAGGAAAAAAAAGCTTCTTTCTAATGCACTCACTCCAGTTGACCTATAGATTGAAAAAAAAAGAGTGGAAGTGTTATTGTGAGGGATGAAAGGTTTCGATTTGTCCTCGATTTTATTGGAATCGGAGGATTCCCAGGGTCGATCTCTTCCCCTTTCCCCTTCCTCCTTCTCCTCTTCCGATCTACGCGTTTTTATGAGATCTCTTCTCAATTCTTTTCTCCATCCATTTATAAATAAATATTACCTATATTCTGCTTCTTGAAAATGTAAATTTCGATTTCAAAAAGTTCTCATTGACCATTTCTGTGAAAGGAATCTTTTGAGAATCTTGATCCAGGTCTTTTGAGATCTTTTGAGAATCCAGGTCAAATTCTTAATTGAATATTGGGTAGTTATCGAATAATTGGGTAAAAACCTAGTTTTCTCGAGTTTCATTTCAAGATTTTAAGCTAGCTTTTATAAAAAAGTACTTTCAGCTTTCATAGTACTTGTCCATTGTTTACTTGCTGATTGTTCTGTTTCTCTTCATCTCTTCATCTTTATCTATTTATCTCCTCATGAAAATGGCGATTCCTTTCTTTACTGCAAATGATCTATGCAACTTTTTACATTGAAATCATCTTCAATTTCTAGATCATCTATACGGCACTCCTCGTCCATCCGAGATGGTCTCCGGTCCATCAAAAGGACCATTACCGCCGAATTGGGAAATCGCTTACGATGCACATGGAGAGAAATATTTCATCGAGTAAGTCTCGCAAAAATTTTCTCGAAATTACGGTACAAACATTAGGCATAGCAATAGCTGAAATTTCAAAGCCAAACTTGAAACCAATCAAGAAGACTAGAGCCAAACTAGAGCCAAACTTAAAACCAATCAAGAAGACTAGAACTTTCAGGCTAGACAAGCTTATAAAAGAGCTTGTAATTCAAATAACTTCCGCCTATTTGTCAGCCTATTTTTCAGCATATCGTACAAGTGATGCCAAGCTAAAGTTTGCATATGCAATTCTATTTCCCATAAAAAAAAATGCATTCAACTCCTTTCTTCCATGTTCCCATTCCCAAACCAATCAAAAATTCTCAAACTGTTGCAACTATGAGAAAATGAAAATGCATAAAATTTATGCAAATAAAGAAGGCGATCATTTAACAAAATAGCGTTGATACCAGAAATTCGCTAACATTCGCCGCATTGAGAGACACAACAATAATATCAGATTCAGGAGTGACAACAAAAGGGATAAACCTGGGAGATGAGAAGTTTTGGTGGAAAGTACAGTATGCCAAAAAATGTTATTGGCTCATAGTTGAATAGCTTTTATTTCATAGCTGAATACTTTATATCTGTAGTGATTTACAGTAATCTCATTTTTCCATGTGTACTTTGAGCTGAAAAGATTCGTAAACGCAACCTTTCTAGCGCATCGTTTGGTATCTAACAATTTCCTTGAGAAAAAATTATTTTTGATGAAAATGAAGCTTTGAATGCGGTCGTGAAAGTATGCGTTTACGAGTTTTTTTTCAGCTTAAAGTACACATCGAACAAATGAGATTACTGTAAACCTTAGGTTACTGTAACTCACTAAAGTATGTCAGGATATAAAGTACACAAAGCATACTTTATTTACAGTTTTGTCACGGTCCCGGAAATGAACTTTGCGGAAACTTTGCTTCCGTTGTTTCCATTCAATTCCCCAAACCATCTTATAATTAGTTTTGGCCTTCATTGTGGTCCGGCTATGAAAAGTTTCGGATTCTCCACTCGGCTCCCACATGGAAATAGATTTCTTTCTCATTTCAAAGATAAACACAAAAAGGAATAGAGAAGTATTCTCTTACAACTTAGACTCAAGTCAAAAATGAGATATTAATTTAGATTTAATCTAGAACTTAATTCTAAAGCATGCACCTGATTTAGCTATAAGAAACCTTAAATACAAATTGTTTTCAGCATTCAGTGACAATTTGCATACGAGACTTTTCACAACTTTAAACCCATAAAGATCAATCTTTTCTTGGTTTAAGTTACCCAAGGAAAGCTTTCTATAAGAAAAAAAAAAGCTAAAACAATAATTTCAATCAATCTGACAAAAACAAGACAACAAAAAACAAGAATGATTTTTAAAAAAATGAAAAAGAAACGACGACGCGATGCTCCCATCGACTACCTTCAAATGGCGGCGACGTCAATTGGAATGCGACGTCGCGCGAAAATTAAGATTTAAGATTTGCGACGGAAATTCAACTTTAACATGAAAGTGTCTCGAAATCATTCTCTAAGAATCGTTCTTTACTTTACAGCAATAAGCCAAATTTCAACATCAAAAACTTCCAAGAGAAATCAATGCCCAATAGGCGTTTTTTTGAGTTGAAAGATGAATTGAATCATCCTGGAAAATTAAGAGCTTAGGAAAAGGTATAGCTGCTTTTTTTTAAATAACAAAAAGAATTCACCATATTAGCGCTGAATCTGCGAATGATTGAAAGGGGGAAAAGTTTTGATGGAATGAAAATTATGCAAATTTTCAGTCACAATTCGGGAACGACTCAATGGGACGATCCGAGAGATCTTCCAGTTGGATGGGAACAAGTCGATGATCCCGTTTATGGAACCTTTTATGTAGAGTGAGTGATTTTTAGATATTGAGATTGATTAGAGCTTTCACTTGTCTACCTGAAATTTTAGCATAGAGCTTTGAAGAAACAGTCGATCTAACGGAACTCTATATAGCGAAAAACTCTAGGGAATGGAATTTTGGTCCCGGCTGACGCTATAGCTATATAAAACGACACTCTATATAACGAAAACATTTTTTGGTCTCTTCCATTTCCAGAGAGAATCGACTGTACACTAGACACTAGACACTAGACAATCGGGTCAGCTTTTGTCAGATCGGGTCACGTTGGGGCAACCCGAAAAACGGGAGGATTCGGGTCGGGTCGTTTCGGATCAACTCGAAAATTCAAATTTTTCGGATCGCGTCGGGTCGAGCCAACTTTTGAACCGACCCGATCCGATTTCCCATGTCTATTGTACACTGTATCTTCAAAGCTACAGCTGTTCAGAAAGTCTTTTCGTTCCTTTTCATTCATTTCCATTTTTCCGTTTAAAATCAACAAAAGCACCATCAATTTTTATTAGAAAGGCCAATTATTTTTTTTGACAAAATAATATTAAAACGAGTTTAAAATGTCTTATTTCTGAAATCGGGTAGTCCAAAAAGAGCGACAACTTGAGGTTTAGACACTTTCGCTAAAAAGGAAACCTATCTTCGTGTCAATAGATAGATAGAGCATAAAAAGTTTGGTCTATAGCTAAATTTTCAGAGAAATTCATTCAGCCAATTTCTTTGTAGAGGTTTTTATAGATTTTTTTACGAAAAACACGTATTTTCAGGCTCGTATAAGCAAATTCAAGCAATTAAGTGAGTCGAAATTGACTTAAAAAGATGGAAAATTGAACTATAAACAGTTATTTAGAGAAAATCATAGATTAATTGATGAATTTGTTATTTTTCGAAAGAAAATACGAAAAGGAACGCGAAGGAACGAAAAGGAAAACGAAAAGGAACGAAAAGACTTTCTGGAAAAGCCTAATAGAATAAAATGTCCATGATCTTGATCCTGATCTAACCCTAGTTTGGTTTTGGCTTATGACTTTGAGGACTAAATTGTCTATAAGTACTGTAGAAGTACTGTAGAAGTACTGTAGAAGTACTGTAGAAGTACTGTAGAAGTACTGTAGAAGTACTGTAGAAGTACTGTAGAAGTACTGAAGAAGTACCAATTATCAAATGTTTCAATAGTAAAAGCCATACTGGTGTTTATTGAGTCATAACTTCGCGCTCATAGTCAGAAGAGTTATGAAAAGCTGTAAATTCAATGGTGATCCCTTCTTGTCTCTTTCCATATTCCTCAAGCATCACAAATGATGAGCAATGAAGCCTTTTCCTGTGATATACAGATGAGTGATCAGAATGTGTAAGGAGTGAATTCTTCTCCCACCTCCTCTTTTTGAACAGAATTGTTTGCTGTCTCTCTCTCAATGCCATTCCCTTTTCTTCTTTTATTTCCCTTATCGAGGCTTATCATGGGCAATTCACCCATTTCTCTCTTCTCTTCTTTTTGAATGTATGGATCGGTCCACCATTCCTCCATTTCCATTCACCCATTCTAGATAGTTTTTCCTAAAAGTTGAAAGACATTCACTTCATCAACATCTTCATCAACATTAAACATCAACATGTCTCTCTACTATTCTCAGCGATCATATTCCACTCAACACTTGCCGAATCTCGATCGACAACGCGGCGGACGTTACAGTAAACGGAGGTGGAGAGATATTCGTTAAAGATCGTTCGTTAAAGATCTAAATTTCAATTATTGATTGAATATAATAGATATTAGTCATAAATATTCAAACCAATCCCCTCCCATTCTTTCCCTTTTCTTTTCTTATCAGCCTAGCCACGTTCCAGGGTGGCACCAAGTAGAATAGGCAAAAAAGAAAAGGACACAGAAGATAGAACCCTAGTGTAACAAAAGAAGAAATGTTTCTCTTGTAGTTTTAATTGAGGAGCTTTTAACGGAATACTAAGCGTAAGCATCAGTTCTGACATTGAACTTTCTCATTCACTTTTGTTATCGGTTTCAGCACAAGTGTTGATTCCAAAACGAGGCTTAACTCTTAATCATCCTTCTTTTGATCTAAAGCCTTTCAGATATTCAGTTATCCAAGACTCAACCTGAATTCATTGACATTATATCAAACTAGTAAAACAGTAGAAAACATTAGCATAGTCTTTCTACTAAAAGTGGGATCAAGTGACTGTTCTCCATGATGCCCATAGAGAAAAAAGTGGGGAGAAGACTGGGAGAAGGGATGGAAGAGAAGGGACGGGAAGGAAGAGAAGGGAAGGAAGAGAAGGGAAGGAAGGGAAGGAAGAGAAGGGAAGGAAGAGAAGGGACGGGAAGGAAGGGAAAGAAGGGAAGGGAAGGAAGGGAAGAAAGGGAAAGAAGGGAAGGGAATGAAAGAGAAGGGGTGCGATTCTCGGTAAATATGGACCGGCACGCGTTTCACACACAAAACACCCCTTTTCCAAGAACAGAAATGCAAAAGAGTCCAGTTTTGTTTAGTGGTCCCTTTCTCCTTTTTTCTTTTCCGTTTTTCCGCTTGCCCATTTCACCACCTCCTACACCCCCCTTTATTTATCCTTTATTTAAGTGAGTCCTTTTTTTTCTGTCTGAACTCAATAGACTTAAGAGACTTAAGAGTCTTAAGATTAGCTAAAATCAATGAGTTTCACTGCTGCTATACTTTTAAATCATTTCAGTGCTTCTTTAGTTTAACTTATAAGTTAAAATTCGATTTTTGGAATCAATTTGTGCATTCTTTTCCAGTGTCAAACCTTTTCTCAACCAAAAACGCAACAATTTTCCGATTAGACATGCCTTTCTTTAGCTGAAACTTGTCGACTTTGCCTGTCCTTTCCCTGTCCTTGTTGTCTATATGATCCTTGTTCATTTCCTTTATTTTATTTTTTTATCTTTGAAAAGTTTAAAAAGTTTGGAACTTTTTCTCTTCACCTGTCATTTCTCATCTCATTTCCCTCTTCTTTTATCTGACAGAAACATCAAGACGCGTTTCAAGAGGGTTTTTTTTTTCTTTTTGATAAGCTTTCCTTTTAAGTGTTCAAGTTTTGGACACAAACTTACTTCGCATTTGGACGCTATTGTAAATTTTTAAGCTACACTTTTAATTCTAAATTTCGCTTTCAACGAATTGCTCTACATAAAATCTTTAGTTTCTTTTAATTGATTGCCTTTTTATATACTTTGAAGACTATTCTGAAGGCAACTTTTTCGAGCCAAGCCTAGCCTAGCCTGGATTGCTGCAAGTTTGGCCTTTAACAAGGACCTGGGTCCACCTAGCCAGATCTGAATTTAGCTAGGCTTTTGTCTGGCTAAATTTGACTCTGGCTTTAGCCTAATCTGGTTTGCAGAACAGTTGGAACATCCAAGAACTTGAATATCTGTAGCTATTTCGAATCGTTTTTCGAAACCAATAAACCTCTAGAACAATTTTAGATCCCAGTAGTTGAATCTCTAGACTTTTGTCTGGCTAAATTTGGATCACAGTAGTTGAATCTCTAGGCTTTTGTCTGGCTAAATTTGTCTGGCTCTAGACTTTCCATCAGTCATATTGTCGGTAGTTTGAAATCCATTGGAAAACGATTATAAGTAACCAATTGGCTCAAATCTATTTTCCCTGCAGCTCCAGGTGATATCCAGATTTTTGGGGATTTTTGAAGATTTCTGGGTATCGAAAGGGGTCTATTATTCACCCTGACCTCCCCCTTCCAACCATTGGCCCTCTTTCAACTCTCATCTTTTCACCCACTCCTAAAAAAATATCCCAAAGAAGACGTGGACTCTTTTCCATTGAAAATAGAAATAAAAGAAGAATTATAAAAGAGATACGAGACTTCTCCGTTGTTTTCCCCTTTTCTCTCCTTTATTCTTTTATTGTTAGTGTTTGCTTCCGTACACCTTTTCCCGTGCGCCCACCTTTTTTTATCTCAAAGACTTTTCATAGAATATTGCTTTTTTCTTCTATAGCTTATAGATCTTTTTGACGTCATTACAAGAATTTGAGACAAGATTGGATCCAAGTTTTCCTCAGATCCAACATTTTGTTACAATAATTTTAATCCTTTATACAAAATCAATGGAATGTTTGATTGAAAAAATGGATTTGTTTGAATTTGAAATTAGAATTTCTCCTTGATCTGTATCAAGTATCGTTTTCAATATAAATTTGGTTCAAATACGGGCTGAGTGTATTTTAATGAAATAATCGGTTACGGTGGGCTTAGTTTAAATGAATTACGGTAGAAAAGGAACCAAATCTGTAGAGAAAAGGAACCAAATCTATATAGAAAAGGAACCAAATTTATATAGAAAAGGAACCAAATCTATATAGAAAAGGAACCAAATCTATATAGAAAGGGAACCAAATCTATATAGAAAGGGAACCAAATCTATATAGAAAAGGAACCAAATCTATATAGAAAGGGAACCAAATCTATATAGAAAAGGAACCAAATCTATATAGAAAAGGAACCAAATCTATATAGAAAAGGAACCAAATCTATATAGAAAAGGAACCAAATCTATATAGAAAAGGAACCAAATCTATATAGAAAGGGAACCAAATTTATATAGAAAACGATACTTGATACAGATCAAGGAGAAATTCTAATTCTTAACTTAAGCATAAGCTCTTGAAAGTGAATCGGCACTTTTTAAGCTTTTGATGTTAGTCTCAATGGTGTACTTTGTGCTGAAAAAACGAAAAAAAACACTCAAACAGCACGGTTTCAGTGAGCTTTGAATGTGCCAGAAAGAGTGTGTTTACAATTTTAAGCGATATCCATTATAATGTCTTCCGGAAATCTGTTCCCCAAGCATTTCCCCGAAATGTTTGTCCCCAAATTGTCATGTCTATCGTTAGTCTCACGCCTAAAACAAAACAATTTCCCCAATTTTTCTCCTCCGAATATTCCCTTCCTTTCCTTTTCCTAGTCTCTTTTCGATATGTATGCAATGAATCACAATTGCATTTTCCCCTTTTTCATTTTTCCTTTCCATTTTTGGTGTTGTCGAGGTTTTTGTGGGGGAATTGAAATTGAATTCTCATCTCATCTCATCTCATCTCAAATCAAAAATGTACACGTTGAATTCTCTCTTTTTTTGATGATTTAATCGTCGATTTCTTGTTGATTTCTCGTCGATTTCTTTCGTCTTTCGTTTTCTCGTTGATCATCGTTTTTAGTTTGAAAAAAAACTTATTTCTAATCTTGAAAAGAAAAAGAAAATAATTGAACACAAATGAAAATGTCAACCGGATGAGCGTTCGCTATATGAGACGCTCGGCGAGCGGACGACGGTAAGAAAATAGAAAGAAATTTGGAGAGATCATGAATTTGTGGGGAATTTTCGGATTTGCTGTCTAATATGATCTTGGGAAGATTTGTTGTCTATTTTGGGAAAATTTGTTGATCCAAATCTGGCCATAGATATCGGAAGATCAATCCAAACCGACCATAATGCGACTCAAAACTTTATAATGTGTTAGAATCCAAAAAAAGCTAAAGAAAGATGTAGAACGGTGGACTCGAACTAGAGAGGCTTTACCTTGTATTTTAACCTATCACCACTCGGCCACAACTCTCTATTGAAACAGCTGGAAAATCTGCTTATAAACTCGACGGTTTGAAATCCCAAAACTTTGAATGCTTATAACTTTTAACAGAGTTCTCCATAACAGAAACAGAAAATATTGGGTTGGTGAATTGAAAACTGCGGGACTTTGAACTAAAATTTATTCAACATAAAACCATAAATTGATTCCAAATAATTTCCATAATTATTGACGACTTCTGCCCATTTTACAGGCAATTTGCGGACTCCTCTTTCGTAGTAGGATTTTGGTTTGTGTGTGAGACAAGTGTGAGACTCAAAAATGGAGGACTGGAGATGTCCCAGTTTGAGCACTTTCTTCAAAAGAAACCCATTTTGGTGTCAATAGAAAAGTTGTAGAGAATCAAAAATTAGGCTTATAGCCAAATTTTCAAAAAGATACACTTAGTAGTTTCGCTTAAAATGCAAGTTTTGTGAAAATTCGTAAATTTGGCATTTCTTGAAAACCAGTTTTTGAATCGTTCTGAAAATTTGGATATAAGCTTGATTTTTGATTCTCTACAACTTTTCCATTGACACCAAAGTGGGTTTCTTTTGAAGAAAGTGCTCAAACTATCACATATGACAATAGCCGGCAGTTTTCAATTCACCAACCCAACAGTTTCGGAATCGGCGTTGAATTCTGCGTTGAATAGCATATAGCTCATTTCATTTGGCCAATTGACATTCCCTCGTAAATCAACTTTCTATTTCGACTCCCATTCTCAACCAATTCTCAACTCAACCAATATCACATAATTTTAAATTCTCATTTCAATCTTTAAATAGAAAGAGTGCCGAGAATTGCTGATTTGAGAAATTGTGGATGAAAAGAAGAAATGAAAGGACGGGGTTTTTGCGGAAGGGTTTTTGCGCAACGGGCATCTTTTAGGGCATTGTTTTGTTCGGCCGGGCCAGAGTGGGGATGGAAGAGACTCAAAAAGGACTCCTCCTCTCTCCACTCTCCACTAGTGGACCTCTCGCTTTCGGTGTGCATCCCCCAAATCCTCCATATCCCATCTCCTTCACAGGCCCCACCCATTCCCCTTTCCCCATCCCTTTCCCCTAAAAAGAGTTTCAATTTTTCCCCTTTCACCCTCCCGAAGACTACTCCCTTCCTTCACTTCTCCTTTCCTTTCCTTTCCATCCAACGAACGCCCGAATTCTTAATTTACTACGTTTCTCCCCTCCCATGTCACTTATTTGCCGAAAATCCTCTACCTTTGGCACTGCTATGAGTCATGCTCCGTCCACCAGATCCCAATAACCTCAATACCCAACCAACCGCTCCGCTCACTTCAACGGTCTCCGGACCTGAGCTTATCAATAATATCATTTATTTCAGGTAGACAGGGATAGGAGATTTACAGCTTACAAATTTCCCCTTCATACTCAATGATTTTCAGTCATGTGAACAAACGGACGACCTATGATCGACCGGGCACTTCGACGGCTCTTCCACCCCCATCCAGACCCACGTCGTATCCGGTTCGTTTACAGATATCTAACTAGGGAACTATCAACTGCCATAAGCTATCCTCTTATCTGTAATTGTCTTTGCTTCAAGCGTTTGCAGAAAAGAACCTATAAGAGGTCTTTGAAAGCTTTAAACAAAACTTAAATGTTCTTAAAAGTAGCTTTAAGTTTTTTTAAGTTTCAGAAAAAAAGCGCGAAATTTGGCGCCAAGCGGAATTGAACCCGCGAGCGGAAATTGGTATAGTTTAGGAGGCTGGTACACTATCCCCTAAGCTACCGCGGCTTTTTCTTCCGCTTAGCGCTTCCTTATAGGCGAGGTGACAGTTTGCCGAAATTAGCTTTGTACGCGTTTTTCTTAAAAACTAGCCTCCATTAGAAAATATATATTTCTTAGAATTCGACAGGGGCGTTTTGTAGCTAGATTTGGTTCTGTAGCTTCAAAAATCGTCCTGTAGGCGTCCTGTAGCTTCAAAAATCGGTGTTAAGTTGAAACAGTTCCCTAGTAAGTCTTAAATCGTACATTGTATTTTAAAAGAATATCTTTTTGTCCAGGTTCTTTATGCTCAAAGCATGAGCAATTTGAGTAGCAAAAGAACAGAGCAATTTTCCTAAAAAAAAAAAACTTATTGAGCGCTTGATGTAGAAGAAAATAATGTTTCACAATTCACAAATTTCAGAGCAACGGAATGGCGTCTAGCCCCGGATCGCGATTGTCACGAAAAGATCAAGCGATGATTTCAATGAATCCACTTTTCACGACGGATCCCACGCAATTGCGCGGGGAAATGCTTCGAACGGTGATCGCTAAGGTGGGCAATGGAAAGCTTTAAGGCCATAGTTGCAAAATATCAGAGATCACTTCAGCTTCTCCATTTTTTTGTTTTAGGGTCAAAAGGGTCTCGGCTTTACCCTTATTGGAAACGACGCAAGCAGCAAAGGAGACGAGTTCATTCAGGTTCATTTTTCCTCTTTTTTTTCCAGACTTTTAATTAGTTCCAAACCACCATTTTCTCTTTTCATTTCCATTTACCCTTTTCCTTCCTCAAAAGCTTGAGCTGATGACATTGATGATCTTTAGTCAACTCTAGCTAATAAAAAAAACAAATTCTTAGCAAAATCCAAGCTATAAGCAGCTTTTCAAGCTTTTCAAAGCGCAGATTCATATTGTAATTCATATTACAATTCATATTTCAACAATTTACAGTCATCTGAACTTCTTTAACCTTCTAGTTTAAGCTTTTGAAGGAAAAAAATTTTTCATTTATCTTTTCGAGATGTGTAAAGCCGAAAAAGGAGCGAGGAGAATCGAAGTGTCGAATTGAATTCACGCGCTTCTCTTCCTCTCTTTCCACTTTTTCTTTCCCTTTCTCAAACTTCACTAAACCTTTAAAGACTTAGAATCGATAGTGAAAGAAATGAGAAAGAATTCTAGGTGAAATCGGTGCTAGCTGGCGGGCCAGCTGCAGCAAATGGAGTATTGATGCCAGGTGATGTGCTTGTACGAGTCAATCAACATCTACTTCTTGGAGCTACTCAGGTGAGTAAAGAAGGCTAAGAATCAAAAAAATGCAGTACCTTTCGTCTTATTAAAGTCAACTTTTGCTTCAATTTAAAAGCTTGAAAGCTAAAGTCGGACTAAATTCGGGCAAGTTGGCAAGAGCAAGCAAATTGAAAGCAATTGAATATAAATTTAAAACAAGAAAATCAATTGCCAGGTTGATATTGAGATAACTCATCTTTCACTTCCAGGCTGACGCTTGTCGCATCTTTGTGAACATCCCAGTTGGAGAGCATGTTGATTTGGAAGTTTGTCGTGGCTATCCGCTGATCATTGACCCAGCCAATCGAATCATCACTGAAAGTGTCTACGAATCGTCACAACCTCGTGATCGAGAGTTCTTTGATATCACGATTATGAAGGGCAATGAGGGCTTTGGTTTCACTATCGCCGACAACCCAAATGTAAGTTAATTGATCCAAGAATTGACTTGATAATTTTATGACAAAGTTTTTACTGTAAGAAATCCCCGAGTGACGATCACTGCCGATCTTATAAGCCTCTTGAAAGCAGGGTTTTCCATAGCTCAGTGGTAGGGCTTTTGCCCGGCAGGCCACCGGGGGTTCGATCCCCGGTGGGCATTCCTTTTGAGAGCTCATGGCAGACTTTATCTTGTGATTTCAGGGTCAACGCGTGCGCAAGATCATCTATGCGGCTCAATGCCCGAATCTCCTTGAAGGGGATATCATTTGTGAGCTCGACGGGAAAGATGTTCGAGGGGTTTGTGAGATTGATAATATGCTTATGATCTGATTTCTAGGCCCAGCACAATCAATTGGTTGAAATGCTTAGAGAGCTTCCGATTGGGCATCGAGGACGGTTGACGGTGAGAAGAATCAGCAACACAAAGAACAGGTTAATCTTAACATCATAACATCATAACACAAATCTATTCAACTTGGGTATAAGAACAGAAAAATGGCTACATTATAGCCAATCTAGATTGATTAGAAGTTCTACCATAAGCTTTGATTCAAAAAAATGTTTTCAGATCTCGTACCCCGGTTGCCGGTTTCCGTTATGGAGGTGGTGGAATGACGCCGACTCCGTCAACAGCTCCCCGAAGCAAAACCCCGGCTCCAGCAGCACCCCGATCACAAGAACCGACCACTTACAGGGCAAACACTTTGACAAGGGTTTGTTTTCATACAAATAACGTTTCGAGTGCTTGTAAAGTTTCTTTTGAGTTGAAGTGCTTGTGAAATTTTTCCCAGGCGAAAATTTGTTCATCCTGAGATTTCATTTTGATTAAAATTTTGATGAAAAAGAAGAGAAATACTCTTTTTTAAAAATTTTAATCAAAAGCCTAAGCATAAAAGTATTTAACTAAATAGTTTTAAGTTCAAATTTTGTTTTCAGCTTCTCGTATACGGTAGATTTTATTCATTTATTCGTCAAAATTTGATGCAAAATGGAAAATGATAGAAATTATGATAGAAAACAAACGCAAAATAACGAAAAATACTAGAATTTCCCGGTTTAGTGATTGATTTGGCGGTAATTTGATCAGAACAGAAAGATCAGAAAAGAAAGATCAGAATTTGATTACAAGTTACACAAGAAAAAAAAGAGTTGACCCACCGTTTAGGGGATTGCTTTTTCCATGCACCATTTCTTTTGTTTTTGATTTAATCTTTCCAATCACCGAATTTCTCATTTTGATTGTGGATTGTTCAGCACGGTATCCCGCCTCCACTCGATGCTTCATCAATGACTGGAATGCGCTCTTCATCGAGTGTTCACGGCTTCTCAACCACACCCAATTACATGCCCCTTTCTGCTTTACAGGTACACCCATCACCCATCTCTTTTTTTTGCGTTTTTTTCACTTCTAAATCTTTCCCTTGGTTTGCTTTTTTGATTAGAGCTTAAAAAGAATGAAAATATGTGAATTTTGGATTTTTTTTCAGATGGATTCATTCAATCATATCACTGTCAATTTAATCCGCAAACCGCAAGGATTCGGCTTTCGGTTACTCGGAGGGAAAGAGGTAAACAACAACAACAAAAATGTCTAAATTGGATAGTGTATCAAAAAAACAAAAACAAGTACATCAAGTACAAAAACAAGTACCTTTGTACATTAAAAGATCAAAGACAATTGAGTTAGAAGAGTAGAACAGAGCTAAACAGTTTAAGGGACAGAGCTAAACTGTTTAGATAACCGGAAGTCAATTGTAAGTCAATTATTTGATAATATGCATATAGCTGAAGAACTTTTATATAAAATTCTAGACGGGAACCCAGTTGACGGTTGGTCAAATTGTGAGTGGTGGAGCAGCGGCCGATGATGGACGATTGAAAGAAGGTTGGAAGAGGAAAAAGAATCCAAAATCTAAAGATAACTATCAACATTCTGTTTTACTGGTTTAAAATAGATTAAATGACTAGACTTCAACTTCAACAGACTTCTTTACTGAAAGCTAACCATGTTAATTCCCGTTGGCAATCTACGAATTTTGCTCATTTCTTGATCGAGTTTGTTTGAAAAACGTTGAACTTGATTCATTCGATAGAAAATTTGATTTCAAGTCAAATGAAAGAAAATAAAACAAATTCAACGTTTTTCAAACAAATTCGATCAAGAAATGAGCAAAATTCGTAGATTGCCAACGGCAAACGGACAGAAAAAGGGGTGGAGTTAACATGGCTGACTGAAGCTAGTCTTGTCCGACTACGGCATACTGTAATGAGACAAAAGCTGGCACTTTATCACTGTTGTTATTGATGGATTTTCTTTCGATTTTACTTTTTAATCAAAAAATTTTAGGTGACGAGATCATGGAGATTGACGGGGTTTCTGTTGAGGGTGCAGCACATGGAGAAGCGGTTTCACTTTTAGAGAAAGCTGCCAGACAACAACACGTCAAGTTGCTCATTCGACGACATCAAAATCACGGTTTGTAACTTGGTCTTTTAGAATAGATATTTAATAGGTTGATGCATAAGTCTTTTCGTTTTTTTCGTACTTCTGTTAAAAAGTAACAAATTCACCAATTAATCTATAGTTTGCTCTATAAAAAAAGTGTTTTTTTGTTCAATTTGCATCTTTTTAAATGAATTTCGGTTCACTTTCAAGCAAATTCGAGAGTGAAAAACGCCTTTTTCGTAAAAATCTATAAAAAACTCTACGGAAAAATTGGCTGAATGAATTTCTCTGAAATTTTGGCGAAATATCAAACGTTTTTTTTTCTCTATCTTTTATCTATTGACACGAAGATAGGTTTTCTTTAGCTAAGGTGTCTAAACCGCATCATCGAGTTAGCCCTTTTTGACTACCCGACTTCATACTCTCAAGAAAATCCAGGCATTAAATATTTTTAAACCCGTTTTAATGTTATTTTGCAGAAAAATAATTGGTTTTTCTAATGAAATCCTTTCTAATGATAATTCTAGTTTAATTGGTGCATTTGTTGGCTTGAAACGGCAGACGAAAAGGAACAAAAAGACTTATGCATCAACCTAATATACAGGGTGCGGCAAAAGTTCGGAGCCGCTATGAAAACATTGCAGAAAATTTAGCTCACGCTTTTTTTTTGTGTCTCGTATACTTTTTTCCCTTTTTTCGAGTATAATTAAGGTGATTTGTTACAAAAATTTTCTTTTTAGGAGAAAATTCGTAAGAATGAACGCCAAAAAACGACGCGATGTGATTCTCGGATTATACCAAGACGGAAAAAATAGCCCGGAGCTTGTAAAAATCACGAAATATCCAAAAAGCACCGTCAACAAAGCAATTAAACGCTACAAGGAGATAAAGAACAACAAGGATCGCCCTCGAAGTGGTCGACCACCAACTGCCGTAACACCTACGAACATCAAAGAAATCCGCTTTCGGATCCGCCAAAACAAGCTGCGGTCGATGCGAAAGATGGGCAAACAGCTGAAAATTAGCCCTCGAAGCGTTGGAAGGATTGTTAATGGGAAACTAAGATTCTTTAGCTACAAATTGGCTAAAGCACACGTCTTGAGCGACAAATCCCAGAAGAAACGAAAGCGTCTAGCAAAGAAGATGGTGCACTTGGTGGCGACTGCCCTACTTGAAAGGATCCTCTTCACAGATGAAAAGATTTTTTCTATCCAGTCATTGCACAACCGCCAAAATCATAGATAACTTCTCAAAAGGGGTCTGAAGAACACATTTGCGGCAAATTTGATGGTTAGAAAGCATTTTTCAGCTTCGATTATGATGTGTGGAGGTATGTGTGCTACAAGTAAGACACCGCCTGTTTTTTTGGACAGAACAGTCAAGATGAATGCTAAAAACTGCCAACAACTGGCATTAAAAGATGTCTGGAAACATTGGGCAACAAATCACTTTGGACAAGCTGGTTTTTCCCTGCAACAGGACTGGACTCCGGCGCATGGCGCTCACTCAACTCTCAACGTTTGCGCTCAGTTGTTTCTAGGCTTTTGGGATAAGACCATTTGGCCTTCAAATTCGCCAGATCTTAATCCCCTCGATTACTCCGTTTGGGCTATTTTGGAAGGCAAGATCTCCATGAAAACGTATCAAACAGTGGATGCTTTAAAATCTGCTCTGAAACGAGTCTGGGATGAAATAACTGTTTAAGCGTGCGCCACCATCGTGAGGAACTTCTCAAAGCGTTTAAAGAGGTGTATCGAAGCGGATGGTGGAAATTTCGAGCATTTGTTATAAGTTATTTGTTGTTATGATTCGAATAAAGAGTTTGTTATTAATTTTTAACTTTTTACAGCTAGTTTTAAAACCTTTAACTATCTTAAGAAGCGGCTCCGAACTTTTGCCGCACCCTGTATATATTAGGTACATGCATAAGAAATGCGAATTTCAACATTTTCATAAATTTCCAACGATAGAAACCTGATATCGATGAATGTTATATACTATTTGAAAGTTGTAAATCTCCTCTACAAAATAGGCTAAAACGTGTTTCAATTGATCGAACCATTGAAGAAATTTCGAGGGCAAAATGCGAGTGGCAATCAAATTCAAACCCATTTCAGGCATTGATATGGCCCGTTCTGTCTCTCTTCCTCCATCACTTAGCCCACATCACACAAATGCGAATGTTGGTCAAGAATATGATGTGGTTTTGCAAAGGTTTGAGAAAATTAAAGTTAATTGTTATGAATGGAAATTAGACAAGAAAGTGATGGATTTGGATTTGTGATCATTTCGAATGTGAATCGACAAGGATCGACAATTGGTGAGTGGAAATAAGGACAAGAATTTCATAGAAATATCAAATTTTGATAAGAGTTTGATAGAGAATCAAGATAAAATTCTAGCCAATTCATTTATTGATCAAAACCTAACCAATTGTTTTTTAGGCCAATTGATCGAGGGCACGCCGGCGGCTCGTTGTGGCCGCCTCCGAGTGGGCGATCGAGTGTTGCGCGTGAATGGAACGGATATCACCGGATTGCCGCATCAGGATATCGTCAATTTGATCAAAGTAAGTCAATTTGATCATTGAAAGCTTGAAAGCAAGAAATTGAACCTAAAATTGAACCTTTTAGTCCTCTGGGTTGAGTGTTTGCTTGACGGTTTGCCCGGACACATCGATCACACCACAAGCGACGACGATCGGCACCACGTTTGCGCCTACATACTCGCATCCGACACCCATTTATGGGGGATATGCTAGCATGCATCAGGTAAAGAAAAAGCGATTCAATAAAGCTTGAGCTCTACAATAATGAGCACAATTACGGTAGCTATAGGCACTTTTTAGCCCACTAATCGAGAGGAATAGGAATCTTGTTGAGGAGGAATTTGTTAGCTTTTGAGCTTTTACCGTAGCTTTTAACAATGAAACTAGTACATAAATGTAGCTAAAACAATGAAATGTACTAGCTTTTAAAAGGGTATTTGAATAAATTTTGGGTAATTAAATGAAATGTACTAGCTTTTAACAATGAAACTAGCACACAAATGTAGCTAAAATAAATGCTCAAATGGTAATAAACTCTAATCTGTCGGCTTTTCAACCATTATTTCATTATTTCATTCATTCATTCATTTTTTGTTTTCAGACACCAGCCTATTCAACCCTTCCCACTTCATCGATGCACACGAGTGGCTATAAAACGAACGGTTTTACTTCTTCTCAATACGAAACCGTTCCCGACAATGTGAGTACAAAATGTACAAAATGTACAAAATGTACAAAATATAAAACATAAAAATGAGTCCGTTGTGTTCAAATTCTTCAAAAATTTTCTCATTCTCATTTTTGGAACGAGCATGAAATGAAATCCGTTCGTTTTTTTTTTTTACTTTCAAACGTTTATTTTGCGTCGCTTTTCTGTGCGTTTTATGTTGAATTTGAGAGATTAAGAGCACCTATATGTTCATTTAAAAAAAGGAAAAAGAAAAAAGAAATTAAGCCTTACTAAAAAGCTTTTTTTATGATATGAATTGAATTCCCATCAGCCTTTTCAGGAAAAATCTTAAGGGAAAGAATTTAGTTAAGAAAGTTATTGATATTTCATAAGCTCTGGGGATAGAAGTTCTTAGCCAGAAAGATGAGATAAGATTGGACTTAAAAGATCACTTGTATCCGACTTAGACTAAGATCTTACGACTAAGCTCACCTAGATCACTTAAAAGATCACTTGTATCCGACTTTTATACCTGAATCCTGTACGGTTACTGTACGATTACTGTAATCAGTATAGAACTATGAAGTTTGAATACTCTTATTGGCTTTTTCCTTGATTACTTTTGCCGATTTGTTCAACTGTTATAAGATAATGTTAAAATGTTATAATGTTACTGTATTCGACATTTAATAAGCCAAGGAAAAGTTAAGCTAAGGAAAAGGAAAAGCTACCCTGACTAAGGATTTAAATATCAAAAAAAATCCAGAAAAGACATGGTGTGCCAGCACCTTCACTCCTGCTCACCTCTCAACCGCTTCCACCAACAGCGGACAGTTGTGAGTCTCTGCTGGCAGCTCTCGCCTCAGCCAGCATTCTCGATGCATATGAAGAGAGTGCTGACTTTGCCCAAATTGCGATCTCCGAACCGGCCACCCCACCGCCGAGTCATCTCCCCAAGGCTGGCCTTCCACCACCGCCTGGCCCCCCTCCACCTCCACCCATTCTCGAAAACGAACCCGGTGGGTAGGCCCTGCTCGATTTATTCTCTCATTCACATTCCCACACAGCTACATAATATCTGCAATACAGAAAAGGAGAGATGAATTGAAGATTAACAAAAAAAAAAGATTGAAGAAAATCAAGCTAAAATGATTCCATTTTTTTGTTGCTTAACAATCATGATGCAGATCTTATGTAAATGTTTGGTTATGTTGAATGTTACGAATGAATCGTTCGGGTGACCCCTGGTTGATGAAATGAAATGATCCCTGCCTGTGTTATGCCTGCTGTTCACTCTTCTTTGTTTCACTATCTCTTTTAAGCATGATCTGTGTTAAAAGCAATGTTTGTGGCTGTAAAGCAAGATTCTTTTTCTCTATCCACTTCTCTGTGTTACTGTTTGTGAAATTTCCCTCAGAGTAACAGAGTATGAAAGCAACAAAAATGGTTGTTGGTTTAAGAAAAATCGCAAAATTTCAGGACGAAGAGCTAACAGTGGAATTGGAAAGGGGAACACGGGGATTCGGTTTTTCGATTCGAGGAGGCTTCGAATTTGAGCAAATGCCACTTTTTATCCTAAGAATTGCTGAGGTTTGTGGAAAAGGGGAAGCTTCGAGAAACTCTTCCAAACACTTTACTCTTGGAAACACTTTACTCTTGGAGAAACTCTTGGAAACACTTTACTTTTAATCTTATTATTACTGATACAGTACTGGACAATGAAATATGATATTTGAAAAACGATCGTCACTTTCGCGCGTCTGTAACTCCCTTGTCTTTGAGTTTAAACTATTAGTGTTATATATTTTCTGAAAGCTCTTTTCAAGGGCTACACAATGGTAATATTAGTCTTTAGAAATACGGTAAAGACAAGGGAGTTACAGACGCGCGAAAGTGACGACCTTTTTTCAAATATGATATTTCATTGTCCAGTAGTGTACATGTGGCTCTGATTTTCAAGTAGAGCCCACGGTTCTGACGACCCGTTTATTTCCTTCTTTCTTCCTTTCTTCTTCCTTGCTTTCTTTCTTTCTTTCTTCTTCTTCTCCCTTCTTCCTTTCTTCTTTTTCCTTCTTTCTTTCCTTCTCCCTTCCTTCATTCTTTCTTTCTTCCTTCCTTTTTTCTTCTCCCTTCTTCCTTTTTTCTTCTTCCTTCTTTCTCTTGGCAAGTTAAGGTACCGAATAGCTCAGTTTAGAGCAATTGTCTAAAAAGCAAAAGGTTATTGAACCTTCGGGTTGAATTCCCTCTCCGGAAATCGACTCTTTCTTGCCAATTCCTTCACTTCACCATGTATAGACCAAGCGAGCCATTCTGAGATTCTAACAAATTTGGGCCACCTCCACTGATAAAATCAACTCCAAAAAATGCCTTTTAGGACGGTTCAGCAGCAGCGGATGGTCGTTTAAGAGTTGGCGATCAATTGACAGCAATCAACTCAGCATCCACACATGGAATGACCCATCAAGAAGCGATAAATCTCATCAAAATGCATCCAACTGTTCGTCTTCGGATTCGTCGCCGACAACTACCATCGTGAATGTTGATTTCTTTAATTGAACAAATTCCTTTCAACGCCATTTCCCTCTTTTGATCAACGAGCACAAATATGTTTTCATGTTTTCATTTTTTCATTTTTTCACTTCTCTTCTCTTGTACAAAAATAAAAATTACAGAATTTTCAGAATTTTCTCGATTTCTATGTAATTTTTTGTAATTTTCTCTCTCTCTCTCTCGACGAATTGTGCCAAGCTGATGAAAGCTGAAAATTATGAGCCGATACTCGCCAATGTGATTTGTTTTTTCGATACTGCTTTCTGCTATTTTGAAAATCTTCTATAAGTTAAAAATATTTCAAAAGAATAAGCTCGAATAAGCTCGAATAGATTATATTTAAAGTTACAAACCGATCATTCACTTAATTCCACTGATAAGCACAAGAAAATCAATGAAATCAAGAAATTCCAGTTAAATAGAAACACTTTTTATACACAAAAAAGCTATGATGCTTTAAGTCCATCCTTTTCTTCTTCTTCTTCTGTTTATTCTATTTATCCACCATGACTAGCAGCAATGTCTCGAAAAAAATTTGTGCATTCTTCACTCTTCTTTCCGTTTTCTTTTTTTTTGCCTTTCTGTGACCAGAAAAGAGCCTCTGACTCAAATTTCTTTTTGTTTTATCAAATTTTTACGTGTACGCAATTAATAAAGAGAATAAAGAAGAAAAACAAACGATTAAACATACGTACAAGTATTCTGTAGAGAAATTTCAAGTATCAGACTACATTATCAGGTCTGTTTTCATTACAAGAACACAAGTACGGCAATGGGGCCCAGAAAGGGAAGGGTCTGTGGCCGACCCCGTCCGATCTGCCAAGTTGAGCAACGTCGGCGCGGGTTAGTCGTGGGTTCGACTCCCATGGGTTCCCCTCCGAGCGCCCCAGCCCGGCCATCGGAGTATCATCGGCTACGACAACTACACTTCTGCCTCAGTAAATGTGGAAGTGGGTTGTGATCTGCGCTAAGTGCGAAGACAGATCAAATCATTATTATTTTTTATTTTTATTTCAAGTACGGCAATTGTGTCGTGATTGGATGATTGCATCTATTGCATTGGATGATTGCATCTATATAATTTGATTGAATCTAAGCGTGAACTTTATAAGTGAAGTAGACTGCTCTATAAAGTTGTTTATTCTGATTATATAAATAGTTTAAGAAAGTCTCTAATTTTCACATAAAATTGACGTATCTTACTACAAGATGCAATCATCCAATCACGACACAATTGTCGTACTTGTGTTCTTGTAATGAAAAGAGACCTGATAATTTAGTCTGATATTTGATACTTCTCTACAGAATACTTTTTAATTTTCACATACAACAGACCGTAAATACTGTAATAGTACCCCACCCCCATAATGACGGTGCGGAGTGTTGCGTAGTCTAGCTTTGCACGCGTTTTTCTCGACACTGGTTTATGCTACAATGCGCGTTTAGGTATCAAAAAATAGCCCTGAATTTCAGCTCTTTTTTTGATACCATAGACGCATTTTTTGAAAGTACGAGCGCTTTGAAAAAAATGAAATACTAAAAAACTTTTGCGACTACGCGACTGTACGACGGGGGGTGGGGTACTATTACAGTATTTACGGTATATTCAATTACTACTTAAACGTTGCCTTGCAACATCAACTCAGCAATTTCATCAATAAATTCGTGCCTTTCTTAAAGATATACCGTCAATTGTATGCGAAAATTAGCGACTTTCTTAAACGATTTATATTGGGTTGGGGAGAATGAGTCGGCGCCCAACTTTAAAGAGACTTTTTGCACACATAAAGCCTTCTTTAAACATACGTGTGGTTTCATCAAAAGGATCCACTATTTCTCTACAAAATGACTTTTGAGAGATTCCACAGAGCTTTTCTTTCGTGGAGTTTATGAACTTCCAAACGCAGCTGGTTAAAATGGCAAAGAGTCCAACTCATCATTTGAACAGTTTCTTTCACATAAACCTTCTTTGGTGTGTATATAAAAAAGATAGAGCACATTCAATTACTTAAGTTGCCAAATTTGCAGGAAGATCCCACCAATGGTTTTTTCTAGATGACAGTTTGTAGTTTTTGTGAAAAAATGGCTTTTTCTTGAGCGGAGGCGCTGTTTGAATTTTCTTTTAAATGTCATTTTGTAGAGAATTAGTTAACCCTTCTACTGATATCAAACGCATATTATTTGACGAATTCTGCTAGAAGTTTCAGACATTTTTTTTGATTTTCGGCGCCGACTCATTCTCCCCAACCCAATATAATCAGAATAAACAACTTTATAGAGCAGTTTACTTCACTTATAAAGTTATAAAGTTTTTATAAAGTTCACTCAAATGAGCATTTCTATTTCTACTTTTTTTTTCAATCAATTGAAGCCTAGTTTAACCAATATGGGAAGCTAATAGATGTATTAAAGAATAACAGTAATCTGTTAGTGGCCAAATAATAGCTAGAATTTCGGGATCCCTTTAACTAGATCTTCGGGACCTTATTGTTTTCTTTTTCAATGCCATCTGTGAGCAGATATCTCAAATTCACTACAAATTTGTAGAGAAAGATTTTCGACTTTGGATTTAAATTGGAATTTCAAATATTTTGTCGATATATTTCTTTAAGGTTTATTACATTAAAAGTGCTTTTAAATTAATGAAAATGAAAGCTTCGATTATCCACTGGGGAACTCGAGACGAACGATTAGGTCAGCAAATTTAATTCCATAATTCCCAGCCCAAAGCTAAAAACTATGTTTATTGAAAAATATTCTTTGGTAAAAGAATTTACAAATTTTTGGACTCCTACTTTTGTGTCCCGTCCTTCTGTAACAATCACTAAACGTCTCGTTGTTGATTTGCATTGTAGTTGAATAGTTTCAACAGTCCATGGTTGATCTAAAATAAATTATTAAACAAGTTACAATCGACAAAAACCAGCGCTTTCTTGATACTCTCGCTCAATTTGTGGCTTACAAGCTTCAATAAAAGAGGGATCTTCCGTGTCTTCGAGTAGCTAAAACTTAGAAATAAAACTATAGAAATTTTACTTGGAAACGAATCCATAAAAGTTTATAAATCGCTCCATAAAAGCCATAAAAGCCTACTTGTGCTGACAGTTTATAAATCGCTCCACAATCGGTTCTTGGTGCATGTTTTTCTTGAATGATCACTCTTGGAGGGCAATGAACGAAAACAGATGGCTGTAAACGTTAATAGAAGTCTAATCAAGTCAAGTAAAATGCAAAGTTAAGCTGAAGA